AGTTATTAAGTATAAACTAGGCTATTAGTAACTAAGTAGGCTAGTTATATTAGGAGTATATAACTAGTACTTAAAGCGCTACTTATACTTCTTAGTTTACTTACTCTATCTTACTATCTATTTAGAAGTAGAAGGCTATTAATAGGAGCTATTTAGTACTAATTAGGTAGTATAGTATTCTTTAGAACTTACTAACTTAGTCTAAACCTTTATTACTTATAAGCTAGTTAAGGAATTTATAAAAGTATTATTAATATAAAAGGAATTATATTATATAGTCCTTTACTATTATAAAGTTTATTACCTTAAGCTAAATATATTTTAATAGTTAGTTAGTAATTACTATTAAGAAATATAGCTAGCCTTCCTTCTAAGCTAATAAGTCTATTATAAAGTTAATTAAGATTTACTACTAGTATTACTTTTTAATAGAAATTAACTATAGAAGTTCTTAATATAGTTTCTTTAACTTATATACTTTAAAATACTTATAATTCTAAATATAGTATATTATATCCTAAGATATTCTTAACTAATAATAATCCTATATAAGTAATAAGAATATAGTATTCTTCCCTAGGTATACTACTATAAATAAGGAGTATACCCTCTTTATTAAGGTAGTTATTAGTAGTTCTTAGCTTAGAATTTATAAGTAGCCTTTAAACTAAAGCCTTTAGTAAGTAGAAATAATATAGTTTATAACTTATTTATAGGTCTTAGCCTCCTTTAGAAAGGACTAGACACCCTAGTATATAGCTACTAACTTAGTAAGGTAGCTTAGGTTTATTACTATACTATCTTCTTATAGTACTAAGAGCTCTAGGTCTAAGAATAGTAATAAGTATTATTTACTTATACTTATTACTATAATTACTATAATATTAATTAGCCTTATAATCTCCCTTAAAGGCTTCTCTAGGTTATCTTTATATACCTTTTATTAACTAAAGGTATCTAGTTATTATACTAGTAGTCTAGATTAATAGTATAGCTAGAATTAAAACTAGGAAAGGAACTCTACCTATTTAGTTTATTATTCTAATAGTAAGTATAGCTTTATAAAGTACTTAAGGTTTTTATAATTAGTTAGGATTATAAAAGGGTTTTCTTACCTTTAAAACTTAGGCTTTTATACTTTAAGGTATATAATAACTACTAAGAACTCCTTATTATAAATTATATAGTTCTATTCTATAGTTAATAGCTTAATAAAGTAATAGGCTATTAGTTAAAAGACTTTATTTTTATTAACCTATAATAGGTAGTTATTTAGTCTTATACTAAAGGTATTTAGTTTTATTAATATCTTCTTTATTAGGTCCTAAAGGCTTAGGTATAAGCTTAATAAGAATAATAATTTTAGTATTTTAAATATAATTACCTTTTCTTTATTCTATATAAATAGTATACCCTTCTTTATTAGCTAGGTAAGTAGCTTCTATATAGTTAAGAAGTTTAGAATAAAGTTATAATAAAAGTTTATAAATCTATTAAAGCTCTAGACCCCTTTTACTAAGGTAGGTACCTCTTAATTATAGATTATATATATCTTCTTTAAGTCTAGCTTTAGTAAGATCCTTATTTATATAATAAATCCTAGGTATTTTATTATTTTTATAAAGAAGTTATACTTAGCTAGGTCTATATAAAGACTAGTATCCTTAAAGTAGCCTAAAATTACCTATACTTTCTCTTTATAGTTTTATAAGAACCTTAAGGTATAGATTAAGATATTATTAAGGTAGGTTATTATATATTTATTAAGGGAGTTACTTAGTATATAGTTAATATACTATTAGAATATTATTAGTACTTTAAAGAGATTAAAGAGGTATATAAGCTACTTAAAGAGACTAAACTAAGTCTAGAAAGTTATAAACTTTTTAAACCCTATCTTTATCTATAGCCTATAGAATACTAAATAGATATTAAGCTTTATATATTACTTTACTATTAAAAGGGCTTATAGTATCTTTTTAATAAGTAAGAGTAGGTATTTATTATCTTTTAAGATTATATTAAGCCCCTTATAGTCTATATAGAAGTATTACCCTCTATTTAACTTCTTTATTAAAAGTACTAGTACTATAGCTAAGAATAAGCTTACTCTTATCTAGCCTTTATCTAGTAAAGATATTAGCTACTTCTATAATTCTAATAACTAGTCTTAAGGTATATAGTAAAGATAGCTATATAGTAGCTATTCTAGTATACTATTTAGCTTAGTTTTAATTTTAATCTTATAGTTAAACCCTTCTTAGTAAGGTAGTAATACTACTATATTCTCTTTCTAGAAAAGGTTTTTAAACTCCTTATATTACTAAAGAACTATCTATTCTTTAACTAGCTTTTAATAGAGAATAGTATTAATCTTATAAATACTTATTAATATAATCTATATTACCTTATAATATTCCTTAAAGTCTATTTTAAGCTAATAGTAAAACTAGCTTCTACTAAGTAATATTAAGCCTTCTTTATTTTTCCTATAGTTCTTTATATATATTTTCTAATATAGTTTTATCTTAAAGTAAATAAAGCCTCTTTCTATATTTATTACTAGCCTATAATAGATAAGTTAAGATAATCTAAATATTATTAGCCTTAATAATATAGGTATTATATAGAGTAGGACTAGGAATATTTAGCTATTAATATTTACCTTAACCTTTACTATATTAAATACTATAAACTTTAATACCTCTTTCTTTATAACTAGCTTAATCCTTTACTTAGTTAGTAATAAGATTCTTTTAAGGTATAGCCTATTTACTACCCCTTTCTATATTACTTTATAGTATTTATAGCCTAAGTTAATAAGGGTGCTTATTAGTATATATACCTTTAGGATAGTAAGGATAAGGAATAGTTTAGTATTTATTTATTTAGCTATCTTTTTCTAAACTACCTTATCCTACTTATTTATTCTTTTTTAACCTTTTACTATAGCTAATATACTTAAAAAGAGACTTATCCTTAGGTATTCTCTTTTCTTAAGCTATTAAACTAGTCCCCTATAGAAATACTATTTATATAGACTAATATTAAAGATCTAGCTAGCTTAAGCCTATAGGCTATAATTATATAGCCTATCCTTTTATAGTAAAGATATTACCCTACCTTTTAATATATATTAAATACTACCTTAAATACCTATATAGTATACTTTCTAGACTATATACTATTTAAGGTTATACTATTAGTAGTTAGTTTAATTTTAAAGGTATAAATACTTATTATTTAAATATCCCCTTTATAGTTTATATATTACCTTTATAGTCTTTATTATAATCTAGCTTAGTATTATTCTTTAATTTTATATAATTTAAAGTTAATTACTACCTTTTAAAATACCTAGATTATATTATTATAGTTTATTTAAAAGATACTATAGTTAATTATAAATATCTTTATTATAACTAATAATATAAAGTAAAGTTTACTTAGCTTAACCTTATTTAATTATATAAGGCTACTAGCTAAGGCTAACTCTTATTTAAAGTATATATAGTAGTAGTTAAAAGACTTTTTATTACCTTATAAAATTATATTAAGGTTTATTATTACTATAGACTATTAATAAAGGTTATTAAATACTATCTTAAAATATCTTAGGAATTTATATAGGTTTATTATACCTTAAAGGTTACCTACTTTAAAGTATATAGTAACTTTTAGTTATAATATAGTACTAAGGTTTATTTAAATATATATAAACTAAGACTTTAAGGGGCTAATAAAGTCTATATTAGTTTCTAGTTTATATATTATAGTTTACTTTTATTTTATAAATACTTTAAGATTACTATTAAACTTCTTCCCTATAAGTAAAGGTTTTTATTAGACTATAAGTAAGTTAATTAAAGAAGGGGTACTTTTTAATACTACTATCTAGTTTTAAAGGTTTTAGCTAGCTATAGCCTAGGTATTAAAAAGGTTTTATAGTTATTATAACTCCTTCTTTAAAAATATATTCTACTTTATTATAGCTATAATCTAGGCTAAAAGTGCCTAGTAAGTCTTAACTATTAGTAACTATTATTTAGGTTATAGTTTTACTATTATTACTTTTATCCTATTAGCTTTTCTCTTAACTAGGTAAGAAAGGTATTAATATAGAAAAGAGTTAATTATTAAAGATTAGCTTTAAGGTATTTATAGATAGGTATTATAATAGTATTAACTCTCTTATAGAGTAAGAAAAGAGGAAAAGCTAGTCTATCTATTTATTATAGTATATAAAGGGGGTATACTAGGAGTATACCTATAGTGGCCTTAGGCTAAGTCTAGCTAGAGTAGGCTTAAGCCTAACTCCTTTATAATTAAGATATATAAAGTATATAATATTAAGAACTAGCCTTAGGGTATTTATAAATAGGCATTATAATAGTATTAACTCTCTTATAGAGTAAGAAAGGGGGGAAAAGGCAGTCTACCTATCTCTTATAGTATAGAGGGCGCGCTAGGGGCGAGCCCGTAATAGCCTCAGGCCTGATATAGCCTGGAGTGGGCCCGAGCCCGACTCCCTCACAATTAAATAGGTTACTTTTTTAATAGATAATTTTCCCTTGTTATAATAATATTAATATCTTTAATATAGCTTATAAAAATATAAATATTTTTTAATATATAAATATTTTTTTAATATATAATAGTAGCCAAATAACGTTATAATAGGGGAAATTATATGTTAAGCAGAAAACGTGTCTAGCGCCCTGTTAGAAAATAGGCCGCACGCGCGTAGGTACCCCTACCTAGGGTAGGTAGTACCATGTTATTATTATAGTACCATGTTATTATTATTAAAATACGCTAATTGGGCCTTCTGGCCCTTCTAGTACCTCGATGAACTTGTTAAAAAACAGGCCTCACTCGCGTGCGTAGGTACCTACCTAGCGGGCGACCTATCAAATCAAGCCTGCGAAGATAGCTTTCAGACCACAGGTTTCTTAAAAATACCGCTCTCTGCGCCAAACTTGTCAACAGCCTCCTCAAAAATGGCCTCAGAACCCAAGAAGCAATATTGCATCGGTTCCGAGGGGTTTGAACCTTCTGCTGTTGCCGCCAATGATACCTTGCAGGCTCAGGTCGATGAGCTTCTGAAAAATGATGACCTTCTTGGTGCCTGTCGCACGTTATTTAAGCTCCCAGACAATGATGACTACGTATATCATGCCAGTGCAAGTGTAAGTCTTGCTCGCGTGCAACATATCGTACAGCTCGGGGGCGTCAATGGGCTGCACAACTGGTATAAAACAACCGACGAAACTCCCGCAAGTTCCTCCCACCACACTACGCGTGCAAGGGCCAATTGCTAACGATGCACGGGACAAAGATAAATGCGCCATCAAGAACAGACATAGACGCCTATGTATCAGTTTTTAATCCTAAGACTGCAACTCTTTCCGCCCTGAAAAACTTCAAGACGAACGCCAAGAAGGACTCTATCCGGGCAGAGTGCGCCACCTACCTCACCGAGAGGAGATACATACACCCGGCTCTCGAAACGAAACTAACGATACCCAAAGTGAAGTCTTCACCAATCTTCAACCCATACTTTCAATTCTGGGAATGGTCTTGTCGCTCATTAGAGTGGTGCGGTCCATGTGCATATTCCGAGAGAGTAACCACAAGCCACCATGTACTACCCATTTTCATGCATCATTTCGGATGTGTGACACCCTCGCATGAGAGCCTTCAGATGCTCAGGATATTGGCAGATGGCCGTGATATCGCAGACATGGGTTCCGGGAGTGGTTACTGGAGCTACATGTTGAGAGCGTACGGCCTGAAATCACACCCAATAGACAACATGCAAAGTGCATGGAGAGTGTCCTGGGTCGACGACACGGTGATAGGAGACGGTGTCAAGTGGCTCAAGAGACACGAAAATGGCAAGAAAATGGTTCTCCTAATTGTCTACCCTGTCGTTGGAGGCGGCATCGGCGGCGGCATACAGGGCGCGTTTACCGAGAACCTGGTTAATGCATATGGTGGTGACACCATAGCTGTGGTTGGCACGCAGAACAGAAATGGATACACCGGTTTCAAGGACCTGACTATGGCCGAATACATGGAGAGAGAACAGCCGCTCTGGACAAGGACTGTCCAGATATCACTCCCGAGCTTCGGCGGCAAAGACGAAGCGTTATTTGTTTTCCAGAGAGGCGAGCGTGCTGCAAGTTTGGGGCAGAACCCGACCGATATTTAGATAAGAGAACTTGTGTTGTCTACCTACGGAGTACATCTGGTCAATTGACAACAAGCTAACCCAGATCAGGATAGGCCCCTAGAAAAATTTGCAGGGGAGTAGTCAATTTGCAATAAGTATTTATTATATATTTATCGTATTAGCCGTGTTTGTTCATCGTGCTTATCGTGCTTATATATTATATACTTGTCGAATTTATCCCGATCGTCTACATAGGTTATTAGTTATTAGTCTAACTGTTTCCCCACCGTTACATTATTAGTCTAACTGTTCCCCCACCGCCGTTGTTAGGGATCAGGGTAACAAATATACCACCGGTTAGTAATTCTATTCTATTTTTTGTTCCCGTTTTCCAGTCCTTATCATCTTCTTTATGCTACAATTATATTCATGTATCCTCTTTTCCTTGAATCCCTTTAGTATCGTGCCTTTATGGTGTGTTGTCACCCACGTAGTTGACTGACTGACAACGCTGGGCGTTTCAGGCGTGTCAGAAGGAAAATAACTAACAGCGCGGACAAGACATGACAAACTGCAGGATCAGCACTGGAGGGAGAGCGGCAAGGACCATGCGTATGTCAGGATTCAGTACGGCGTACATCGTTAAATCTGCACAAATTTATTCGTACTCCACTGCAAGTCTCATGATGCGCCCGACCAACCTACCTAGGTTAGTAGAGGTTGTGCGCATTCCCAGCCATCCACTTTCCAGCACACGCTCATACAGTCAGGCTTGGGATCGTTTTCCTACATTGCTAAGCACAAGAACCTGCGCCTTCCAGCAATTGTGCCAAATCCAGGACAGTTGAACTGCCTGCGAAAAGACACAGACTCCCCAACAAACATACTTTTGGGATTCTTGATCCCCCGACCCCGCACCGGCCGTCGCCCCGTGGCAACAATGTCTCTGGCTGTGCAAGGCGAACGACGCCGCGACAGGTCTAGATCCACGTCGCGTGACCGACGACCTAAGGATGAAACCGAGCGAGCGACCAAGTCATATTCAGACACGCGAGAACCAAGTTATGGGTATCCCGACGACGGCTATGTCGACCGGTATGACGATATATACTCACGGCTTGAAAATGACCGCCGTCTCGCGTATCCCTCTGAAAGCAGCTTTGACCTGGCTCTGCCCGGGACCCAGCGGCCATACCAGCACCACGAGAAGCGCTCTTATTATAGAGACCAGTACTCTCAGCCAGAGCCCCCATCATCGAATCACCTTCCGGGGTCTTTCCCCAACGACGAGGCTCAACCCCGCCGAGGCGACAACGATGATCGCCACAAAAGTCGCGGAGAGGCTCGTGACTCGAGACACCACAACTATGACCATGAATACAACGACAAGCAAGACAGTCGCCGCGCTGAACCGAGGCGCGACAAGCAAGATGTAGTTGACGCTAGTGATGATCGATTGAAGTACCTGCCGCAAAAGTACAGTCAGAATTACGACGATCAGAAAGGGGATGACAAAAGAAAAGGCAGACGTGCTCGATCCGAATCCGAAGACGAGGCCTTAACTTATGGCGGCTCACCCCCGCTCAATGCCCAAACGAGCTCGCCCCCAACATATGGGAGCTACATCCCCGGTTCTAAAGCCGGGGACAAGCGCAGCTCAAAGTACATAGAGGACTACTACGATGACAGGGGACGTTCTCATAGCCCTGACAGAGAAGATCGGTCCTCCAGGAAGTCAAAGATTGAAAACTACCGGGAGTATCCAGACGATCCGAGGAGCGCTAGATCGAATGCTCTGACACTGGAACCGTCTCGGCGCACAAGAGACCGATCTCGGGATACTAGACGAGATGCCTCGCCAGGTCCGGCATTATTGAGAGCTGAGCCCGACAAGCATGAACGGGACAAGTCTCGTGATAGATCCCGCGACAGGCGGTCATCAAAGCGCGAATCTTCACCTTTGCCACCCATTGCCCGAATGTCTTCGCTCACAGTTGACACAAAGCGCCCTACCAATATATCACTGGCCGCAGCTCCAGGGTCTCCTCTTCTCGAGTCATACCATGGTACATACCAGGACTGTTCCCCGATGCCATCGCCGCTGCTTCTTGCATCGCAAGCAACCGCCAATGAACCCCCAAATATTGTAGATGCGTTCTCCCCACTCAACTCTGATGCTGAAGGAGACGGCAAAAAGCGCAACCGGAGAGCTCGTTTCCATGACCCAGAAGATATTGCATCACGCCTAGCGCGCGCTTTGAAAGGCGACCGGCCGCCTGATACGGAGCCTCTCATCGAGATCCTCCCAAGCTTGTCGCACGAACAAGTCATGGAATTGCGGGCAGAATACAAGCGTATTGTCAAGACAGGCTCCGATCGCAAAGGAGTTAACATTGCGAAGCATATTCGAGCACGTCTCAAAGACGAAGATCCTCTGCTGATGAAAGCGTGCTACTCTGTTGCCCTTGGAATATGGGAGGGTGAAGCCTACTGGGCCAATTTCTGGTATCAGGGAGACAAAACTCGTCGCGAGCTGCTTATTGAAACCCTCATGGGACGCACGAACGACGAGATCCGCCATATCAAGGATGCATTTACGGATAAGAAATACGACAACAGCCTTGCGAAATGCATGAAGACCGAGCTGAAGGAGGATAAATTCAAAAAGGCGGTTCTGACGGTTTTGGAAGAGCGACGAATGGAAGATCGCGATCAATCCGGTCGGGCATTCCCCCTGGATTACGATTTAATCGACCGCGATGTTGATGAATTGAGAAGAGCAGTCAAGACCGAGAAGGGTGGTGAAACGTTAATGATCGCCATCGTTCTGCAGCGCAGCGATGCTCATCTGAGAGCGGTTCTGAAGGAGTACGAGCGTCACTACAGGGGTAATTTTGCCCGCGAAGCGCTCAAGAAGAGCGGAAATCTTGTGGTAAGTCCCCCAGCTCTATCCCTTCAGAAATAGCAGAGCTAACTTTCCAAGGGTGAACTTCTCGCCCACATTCTGAATGGAGTCATCAACCGTCCCGTGCGAGATGCCTTGCTACTACACCACGCATTAACAGCCTCGCGCAAGGATAGTCTACGACGCGAGCTGCTGGTCTCTCGACTTGTTAGATATCACTGGGACCCTATGCACATGCAAGCTATCAAAAGGGCCTACAGCGAGAGGTATGGCCGCGAACTTCAGGATGCCGTCCGCGATGCAACCAGCGGCGAATGGGGCATCTTTTGCTTGGAGCTATGTATTGCGCGAATGCCCAATCATATTCGCCACATCGAAAGAGTTGGAGGTAGCGGTCGGTAGAGGTATCCTGCTGCCTGAAGCACAAAGATCTCTGATTTTTATTGTTGCAACTTGTCACCATATATATCTACAGATAAGCCTAAGTAGATCAAGATTTGGTTCTTAGTTAGTCTATAAATAAAAGTTCGCTCATTATTTGCCCCTTTTACCGCCCTTTGCTTCATTCCTGCCTCCCCTAAAGCCATGGCCTCCTTTGCCAGAGCCAGAAGTAGCGCCAACGACAACCAGACGAACTCGGCCGGCAGGAACTGTGTTTACAATCTCTTCTACCTTCAGGAACTTGATGAGTTCCACCTCTCTGGGCCACATCTTTTCTGTATCAGTGCTCTTTTCATCCAGAGTGCCTTTTCTGCCCGCGTCTGCTTTCCAACGTTCCAGCAGTTCCTTGACTGCCTTACCCTTCTTTGTGGCACCGGGCTGGAGCTTAAATTTGTATTTTGACCGGCTGAGCGCAGCCCAGGGAGCACAGATGACGACGGCCTCCAGGATCTCGTCGCCAGGACGTGGGGTGCCAACCAATAGGTTGATTGGTGTCTGATATTTCTCTTCGTCGTCCGCTTCGCGATCCGCACCGTCGAGAATCGCCCGTCTCTTCTCCTCATGCTTGAGTACCTCTCTTTGTTTCTTTTCGTGCTGTGTGCGACGTCTCGCTCTTGCCTGCTCAAGTTCTTGCTCCCGCTGCACTTTTTCCTGCACTTCGGATTCAGCTTTCTGTTTGCCTGCAGCAGCACCAATCAGCACCTCGGCAGCAGCACGATCATCGTCATCCTGATCTTTGTACTTCGCAGCGATTCTCTTCGCTTTTCCCTTGTGGCCTCTCTTTGGTTTCTTAAAATCAGATAGTGCACCACTCCTCGCTACAGGCCCGTTCGTGTTGGTGGAAATCTCAATGGTACCAGCCACTACTTGCGCAGTATCAGGCTCAGGAGTCTCTCCGTCGCTCTCCTCCTTGATATCCAGAGTAGCTAAAGTGCATGTTATTTGGCCTCCGTCTCCATATTGTGCTGTATCCAAGTCAAGACTTCCACCGTAGAGGGGGTTGGCTCTGGTAGGTTGTTTGTCCCCGTCTTTATAATCACCTTCATCTTCTTCGTCACTGGACTCCTGATTCATGTCCATGATAGAAGTGTCTTGTTTGGAGTTTGTTTCGGTTTCCCTCCCAGGAGCACCAGCGGTTTCGTCCCCGTCCTGTATACGGTGCTTGTTATGATGGATCTCACTTTCCTCGCTGATTTTGAACATGATACTGAGGCCGAGTATCAGTTGGCCAGGGGGCAAAAAGTTCTTCTCTCCGCTAATATTGAAGTTGCCCGGCTGTAGTATGTCTCCTGTAGGAGTTGACTTAGACACTTGGCTGGAATTGACCCACCACGCGCCAATACCAGCTTTTGAATCCCATGCCTCGGAGGAGCAGATACTCAGTTGCCCGGCCTGAGCCAGCGTGGCCGGTGCGATATGTGCATCTTCTGTATTCGAATTGTTCTTCACAATGACTATCGCAGCATTGTTTGCGTCGGCGTGGCAGAAGATGTCGCCGCTTCCCAAATGCCGCCGATATAAGATCTCTGCCTGTGACTTGTCCTTGGCACCAACGACAAGATAACCATCCGAAGAAATAAACCAGTAAAATTTCTCAAACCACATGAGATTTCGAATCGGTTGTAATAGCGCCTTTTCCTGTTTTAGGGCCCTCTTCAAGTCGTGTTTGATCTTCTGCTCAGTGCTCTTGATGGCTCTATCGGCCTGTAGTTGAGTTTTCTCTTCTTTGACAACTGCTGTTTTTCGTTGGTCGTAGTATTCCCGTGCATTGCTCCAGGGACTGAGTGTAAGGGTCAGTTCAACAATAATGGTTTTGTCCGAGTAGTTCTGGACGCTCTTGGCGGCATTCAAATCTGTTTCAGAATCGGCGTCGCTGTCGTCTGTTTCGAAAGGGTCTTCCACTTCGCTTCCAGCATCGTCTTCTTCGCTTAAGCGGATAGAAATGACATTGTCAGCCAGGCTCAAGGGCAGGCAAATCAAATTCGCAACTGCGTTGTTTTTCTTTTGCTCTCGTGCAACAAGCTTCCCGATATCTACCCAATCCATTCCTTGAGCTAGTAGGCCATTGATCGAATCCATGGCTTCCTGGACCCGCTCAATGTTCGCTTCGATGGCTGCTGCTTTTCGAAAGTTGTCGGACTGAGAGGTTTGCAGTCCCTTGAGTCTATTTTCTTGGTCTTGTTTCGCCGCATCTAGCTTCCTTTGAGCGGCTGCTTCTCTTTCGACCACGCGACTCTGAAGTTTTTGCCCTTCCAAAGAGGAGAAAAAGTCATCGACAGTTCGGTTGAAACCTTCGAACCTCAAAATCTCGATTTTGCTGTTATTTTGAAATTTTTGGGGCACGAAAGGATGAAAGTCGTCATACAGCAGGCCGGCTTTCGCCTCACTAGATGTGTCCTCGGTCGGCAAATTTTGTTCTTGGGCCGGCTTCTTTGCGAAGATAAATCCGGTACACGATGGCGACGACGTAATAGCTCCAACAAGCTCCCTCGCCTTGCGCAAGTTTTCTACTAGGCTGCTAAGGAGGCTAGCATCTTCCAATATTGTCTCTGGCTTGAGCGAAGTGTCGAAGTCGTTTGCCTGCAGTACGTGATCGACTATAATTGGAGGTAGCTCTGTGATTGACACCGCTAAACACTTTCGTAGTGCATTTCCTTGTTTTGGGGCGGGTTTCGAATGGTGACCTTTTGTAGCTGACACCGTTTCAACCGCTGCGGTTAGTGCGGTTCGCACTCTTTCCTGTGACAGCTCTGGTATTCCGAGAAAATTTTGTCTGCTCTCAAGAGAATACTGCAACCCGACCTTTTGTGGTTCTTGTCCATCTCCTTCCAGCACATTTCTAAATATTGCGAGTATCTTGAGGTTGGCATCGGTGAGTATTACGTTTCCGCTCTATGCAAATAAGTTAACATGGGCGTAGCCATCGCCATAAGTCTGTGGCCTTGCTTACAGCGAAAAACTCGAGGAACAGCCTGTATTGCCCATCACTGAATTGAAATTCGAGAATACGATCAGTCCCTATCTGAGACACAGATGTAAGGCGCCGTGTCTTAAGCACCTTGCGCAGCCGAGCAACAAAGACAGATGGAATCCCTGCAGTGGCGCGAGCGTATTCCGTCGTGTGGCAACGAAACCCGATGTCTATAAGCAGTTGCTTCTTGGTATTCGGTTTCGCAAATTTGAAGAGTAGGATCTTTGTTGAGAGGTCGTAAATATTGGCGACTCGAAGCGAAGTTAGGCTTTGGTTTAACTCGTGAGCAATTACCTGTAGAACCCGTGTGAGCAAGGTGGGATAGCGTGTTGCGCAGTTTGACATTCAAGAGAACTTACCTTGACGTCAAGAGAGGAGAATCTTTGCTTCATCTTGAATACTCTGAGCGGTTAAGCTAAATGTCAAGCAGCTTGCTCCTAAGTATACGGTATCTTGTGTCGTCTCTCCCCGGGAATTGGACGTGGGGCAATTCCGGTATGGCGGGGCAAATGGCTGTGGTCATAATTCGGTGGTGTCACGTGTATTATGGTCGGGGAGAATCAGACATCACGTCTTAGAGGATAACTAGACGATTCTGGCTAGGAAAAAGACTTGTACGCAAATCTCGTACGTTCCCCAACGCCGGATATGGCCTTGTTGTCATAGCTCTGAGCCGAGTATCGTCGGTTGACAGCGACCGATATCGTACGGCAAGGCTTATGATAAGTCACGAGTGGCATTCTACTAGCAGACTATGTACACATCCGTACCCTCCATGTCTGTACGGACATGTATATGCGCTCTGATACAGTCATTCCTTATTAGGTAACTATTGTCCAAAGCCGCCATAACTCAATGGCTGCATATGTACGTAGGGTAACAGGACATGAAAAATTGCCCGTCAATAAATAATTTGGAAGTGGACGTGAGCCGAGGCATGCAAAATATGTAGTAACTCGCTAAAACTCTAGCGCCGCCGGCGAACATGATAGTATATAGGTACTTAGTAGCGAACAACAAGGCCTGAGCTTGTGACAGCCTGAAAGAACCAGCAGAGATGGGCTGCCCAAGATTGGCGTTGTTGTTGTTGTTGTTGTTGTTGTGGCAACACGGCTGGCTCAGTTGCGCGATCAGACGCGTCCTCGAAGATTACCTAGGTAGTTACCAGTAGCTAGGTACCCAGGCAGGTACCTAGGTACCTATGTACCTAGCTACATAAGTACCTAGTTAGATACATCGTAATTGGGGTCAACAACGCACCACTAGCAATCAAAGTGACTAGTTAGAGGAAGCTCTACGACCATAGTTACTTATCGCTGGTGGAAGACCCCTTTCAATTTAGACCCTGAGATGCAAAAGTCCTAGCCAGATCTAACCGTTGGGCACTGGAATTTCAGGCTTCAGATGACGAACACTTGGCTGCCCAAATCGCACCTCTACCTCTGTACTAAGATAGGTACCTAGGTACCTAGGTACCTGTGCCTGGTGTGGAGCGCGTGTGCCAATCCACATTGGCTGGTTATGAGATGAGTTTCCGAAACATCGACGCTCTCTTTATTGGGGGTAAAAGGAAAACCCCCTTTACAAAACGTTTCTTGGCACAGGGTACCAGCCAGGCTTGGGCGGCCCAATTGTGGGCAGCCGCCAGCTCATCAAGCATTGGAGTTAAAAGCCCAACAGTGAATAGGCATAACCACACTAACCTGGGCATTGACGGGCATAACGGGCATACGGGCAAAACTAATTCGTACTAACTACGCCGACGAAATGGCGAAGCTGTCCGCTTTTTCTTAGCCTGATATCTGTAGCACCTCATAGTTATCTTGTCGGTTGAGCCCCTTTTTTGCTTCTGCGGCCTCGCCTAACTAGGTAGGCTATGTATGTACCAGTCATATTCGTATGGTGCCACCGTCTCCCATGCAGATATGTAGTACGTATCAGCAAGGGAAGTGCCAGGTTGCTCGAGCCGGGGCTTTCGGCGGCCGTGCATCTCGTCTTCTCTGAACCAGTAGACTCAAGCTGAGGCGCTCCCAGTGGAGTGTTGTCATCAGGCTATTCCTGTTTGGCTGAAAGTAAACAAACCCCCAGCCGGCGTAAACACGCCAGGCATCTCAAGGATACAGCCCCAAGCAACGACAGGTTGTAGTCAGTAGCCCAAATCCCCGTCTCCCCGGCCCTCAAAAGCCATCGCTCTGCTGCATCCGTCAGGCCGCCATCCTTCCTTTCCAATCACTACTTCCCAGACACAGCATCTCTCGAAAGAAAAGCCTTTACCGAGGACCCTTTTCCTCTCTTTTCTTCCCCCTTCTTCGACTTTTGTTCCCAAGACAAAAGCCAGAGGACTTCTTGTCATCCTTTCGTGCTCGTTACGGAAGGCTGTTGAGAAGATTCTCTCGCTAGGCAAAAGTCGCCAATCTGGACTTTGAAGCCCGTGTCCCCGTGCCCTTCAGCATCTTTCCCTCGACATACAGGGACAGCGAGTCGCAGACGACCACCCAGACTCACGAGGAGATTGCTATCAATCTCCCCGCCAACCTAGCAGCCGGACGGGAAGGCCAGTACTCTTCTCACAAGGTCAACGAGGAAGAAGTCCGTTTTACCCGTGAAGAAGATCTTCGCCGCCGTCCCGGTTACCAGTCGGAGCAGCAGTACGTCAAGGAAGATCGCAGGTAAGCTCCAATCGAATTTTTTTTTTTGGTTCCGCTCTCGCTCCCCAGTCCGACAGCATCCGCTGGCCATTTTCCACAATTTATGCCTTCCGTTCCATGCAAGCCTTGCCTGAGCGCCCAGCCCAGAGGTGCGGTGAAGCTTTGCCACCCTGGTCCAGGGGCTTCAGTGCCCCAGAGATTGCCACCTGAGCACCAATCCTCCCCAACCATGGTACTAACAAGAATTCCTAGACCTGCACACAGCGAGTACGCAGATACTCATATTGAGGTTGATACTCATCGCCAGTCGTACGGCAGCCCCATTGACAACATCGAACGTGAATATCGCGAGCGTTACCGCCCTCGATACACCACCACCGTAGACGCCGCTCCTCAGACCCAGACTTTCCAGTCTGAAAACATCCGTGTCGACGAGTACACTGTCAACGCCGGCGCCCGCCCCTCGTCTGTTCACAGAGAGGACATCAAGATCACCGAAGAGACCTTTGAGCCCTTCCGTTACGGTCGTGCTGATCAGAAGTCCAAGATGGGTTACTACGACGAAGACGGTATGTCGCGCCCTCCACAACCCTCGTCCTGTGTGACCACCTACTCATTGTTCTGCCAGGTCACTACCACTCCTTCCGCCACGGCATGCACAAGCTTGCTGACCGCGTTGTCCACCCCCGTGGGCATCATGAGGATCACATCGACGTAGAGGTCCGTGAGGGCCCTGCTCCCCGCGGTCGCTCCTCGGAGGCTAGCCAGTATCTGCCCAACACGGTCACTATTCCTTGCCACCACATTCGCATTGGTGACTTCCTGATGCTGCAGGGACGCCCCTGCCAGGTCATCCGTGTCTCTACCTCGTCTGCCACCGGCCAGTACCGCTACCTCGGCGTTGATCTCTTCACCCGCCAATTGCATGAGGAGTCTTCCTTCGTCTCCAACCCCGCCCCCAGCGTGGTTGTACAGACCATGCTCGGTCCCGTCTTCAAGCAGTACCGTGTGCTTGACCTCCAGGGCGGCAACATTGTTGCCATGACCGAGACTGGCGATGTCAAGCAGAACCTGGCTGTTATTGACCAGTCCAACCTCTGGTCTCGTCTCAGCACCGCCTTTGAGTCTGGCCGCGGTAGCGTCCGTGCCCTCGTCCTCAACGACAATGGCCGCGAGCTTGCTGTTGACATGAAGGTCATTCACGGATCTCGCCTGTAAGAAGCGTCGCTCAGTCATGTATGAATCAGATCTATATATTTGGACATGTAGCTAGTTTATATTAGGCTGTATTGCCTGCAACAATATGATGAAAGACCTTAGTAGTCTCTGTTTTTATTTTTCGTTCCTAATGCAACGCTCTGACCTTGGCACTTCTCCTAGGATTGGGCTCTTATGCCGACTGAAGTCCGCATGACGCACCCAAACTGTCCACCAGCGCTTATGCAGACGTCAGGCATTGCTCTTTGATCTATATTACGTATCCGAAAATCTTCGCCTCCATTTGACGTCAGTCGCGGCGTTGTCTTTCTCGGACTAGTGACCATGTGTAATTTGTCCACACCTCATCGTCATAACTTGACTTGGCCAACTTGCATTTACCCGCCTGTATTTACACCCTTTACAATTAATTTGTTGGCGACATTCATTTTTTACTTACCTCTGGTAGATCCAGCATGGCGGCTTTCTTAGTTTTAGTTGACCACTGATCTCGTCGATCTGTCTGAGAGTGGCTGGCAGGTTTTCGAAACGCCGGTAACAGACACGCGATGATGTACTCACAATGGAGGGAAGAGAAGTGACATGGAGTCGCCTTCCTTAGATTGCGTGGCGAGCGTTTTTGCCTCTCTAGTCGGATCCCGTGACCTCGGAACAGATGTCGGTGTTACTACTTCTTGAAGCTTGAGCATCCCAAGCAACCTTGCTGACATGCCCTACGCACGTAGCCCCTTGATGGCTGGTCGCTTACATCTAATATTCCGAGCGACTTGCTATGGGCGGCTAGACGTCCAGGCCATCACATCAACTGACCCAACTCGACACACGTATATGGTCGTGTTCAGCAATTACGTATAGATGAAGGCTACTTTGGAATATCAAGCGAGAAATTACAACTCAAGGCTCCGCAGGGCGTCGACCCTACCACTTTCAATAAGTTTATTCAACAACTGCTAAATGACCCAGATCATGTATTAACTAACATTTTTAGCGTGGTCTGTCTTTCAAGCCGATTAGCTGCCGATTCTAGCCATGCTTGCTCTTGTGAGACTTAGGGCAAGATAGAGCACCAGCATTCGTGTGGGTGCCCACCACTTTTGCTGGCGCACATGGTAAATGTGTGATAGCTCTGACCCCACTGAGTTTAGCGAATCCGTGCCAGGTGTTGATATCTTTGCCAGTTGCTCGATCTGATCAGCCGATTTTCAGCCATGCAATCCCACTCGAGGAAGATCCAAATCACGTCAAAGGATCAAGTGGTCGCTGTTGGCTCTTTGCTTTGGCAAAATGTGTCCCGGATTACTCTCATGCAGAATGACAATTTTTAAGTCATTCGAGCTGTCCCTGTCGTGCCTCCTTTTCTAGGACAACTTCGAAAAGGCAGCCTGGTTCCTCGAGCAAATCGTCGATACTGGGTATGAAGAGTTGGGCAGCCAGATTGCTCAGAACTTTTGTTGGGGATGTAGGCGAACGAGCAGCGATACCGGGCCTATCAGTAAATATGGTCTTGTTCCCAAGGCCAATTATCCCTACAACTGGAACGCCATGAACTCGAGTATTCGAAACTCTGGTTTGAAGACAAAGTTACGCCAAAAAGCACTGACACTGCGCAGGCTAATTACTGCGTAGAGAGCTGGCTAGCGAACCCCTCCCGGTAGATGTTGGGGGATTCAAATCTGGCATGCTTCAAGAAGCCCCAAATATCAAAACTATTATCCTATGACCACCCTCGAATAGCGCCGAGTCGCTCAGTTAGGAACATATATAGAAGATTATATTAAAATTTATCAAGTAAGCACATCGGCGAAAGAGTTTGCGCGCGACATTTATGGGTTGGCTGTTCGAGCCAAACCGAAAGGTTGTAGAAATGCTATCTCCCAGTCACGAATCCCCGTCACCAACCTCTAATATCACTCCTAACCTTCAACCAGCTTAGCGACACAGTGAGACGTCGCAAGGTTGAGTACATCAGTGTATGTATATTCTCAAATATGCGGGCGTGAGGATGATTTAGGTTGACATGCCAGCCAATTCAGCGACAAGGACCTAAGCATCATGAACTGAGCGTATCGACTACCAGGTTGGTATCAACACCAACATGTCGGGCAAAAGAAGGCAAAAATATTCAAGACAGGGCAGAGCAAGATGACGCACGCGCCATGGTCTTGACGGCCGTGAATGTCGACAAAAGTACACGGAAAGCTAGGTAGTCTGGTGGTGGTGGAGAGTCCAAGTAGCTGGGCGGCAAGGGTTAGTTTATGATGACGGATGCTTGAATCATTTTACATTTGGTTATCGGGCTTTGCGAGATATCTTGAAGCATGCCTCGTGGCATTGCCACTGTTGGGCTCGTTGGCTTGACGATGACGCAGCAACGCATACGGGTGTAATGTTCAAACAATTCGTTTCAACTAAGAAATATTGTTTCGGGAGTATTCCGATGCCATAAGGCGTGTCGGACATCCCTGTCGTTGGGCATCGTAATGCGGCTACACAGCTAGCGCTGCCCAATCAATGCCGTACAGAACTCATCTAATACGCTATATCAGTATTATATACTTTATTTCATTTCCTCACCGACAAAACCTTATCCAGTCAATGTTAGGCAGCACTAGACACCGTTGACGGCAGTTCGGGATAAACTCAGGAGCCAAGGCAGCCTGGCAAAAGGCAGGCCAAGGCAACCCCGTCGACCGACGGAAGCGCACTAGACTAATGTGCTAACTCAGGTAGCTAAAAACATGCAAGGAGCGGACATGACATGACAAGTTAGCTTCACCGAACCCATGCCTACCTAGGGACTATGATGCAGCTCATGTTCCACGCACTGCAGATTGATCACCAGTTAGGCTCGAAAGAGTGCCACAATACTGTAGAACATGCTGCATAACATGCATGGAGCGTACTCCTTGCTAATCGTCAGCGATAGAGAGAAGGCGGGGAAGGTGTTTGCCAAGCGCCCACGAAGAGTAGGATCATAGCAGTTGAGTTGGATACCTACATACCTTACCTAGGTAACTACCTAGTTAGCACTTATTAGCCCTGCACAGACTCGGAGCGCATGTAGTAGGTATGCGACTTTGGCGGGCATGGGGCATGCTCTTTGCAAGTACATTTGGTCGCTTCTGCAGGGAATTTTTCAGGCCCGTTCCCTTGTCCACTTGCATTCAGTCAAAAAAAAAAGCAGGTGCTTGTAATTAAGCATTGTGTACAGTACGACTACTCCACCAATACCATACCCTACTACCTAGTAGCTACCTACATACCTACCTGGTAGGTGGTATGTAGGTACCTAGGTAGTTAGGTACTGGGAGGTGACGTCGTTGGTGGTGGTCAGCCGCTCGCTGGAGCTAGAAAAACTACCCGTCCCTCATCTTTTTCTGCTCCTCCCGACCCAGAGTTGTGCCATCCAATTCCCAGTGTCGCGCCGCAATTGGAGTCTCTTTTGTCCAACTCAACAACTGTACTATTACGTACAACCCACCTCGCAGGCTCACCGTTACGCATTGTCGCTCCAGAGTCACTAGATCTGCATTTGACCACTGCCAGACCGGGTGTGGACGTTCTGACTCGTCTCAATAGCCAAGTTTTCAAGCCAGCGTCGTTAAATATTGAGCTTGTTGCCTCGCCTACCCAACGAAGCGAACTTGTTCTTATTTCGGTCCTCTACTCTACCATTAAAGTCATATTGACTTTAAGGACTGCGCCAAATAAGCCCAGTTCGACAGCTTAGTCCCGGCGCTCCGGCTACGACAGGTATTCATCGCCCCTCATCGATAGGGCGGGCGCTGCAACAAACGCTCCGAGTTTAGCGTTTTTCGCAACGGCGCTGCACTGCCATCCTTGTGGCCTATTTCCAACCCCCATCGACTCGAAAATCTGTATTTTCAACAATGGCCGATCGACATCGCAGCTACCATCACGCTAGGCCGGCGAGCACGAATCCCTCCCGGTCCTCTCTTCCCGCCGGCATGGTGTACCAGCCCTCATATGCAGACGACTCATACTTGGCAGCCGGTGGCAGCCGTCACCCTGTTACCACGCCTCGTGGCTACTCAAGTACTACGACTCATTCTGGCCAACCCGCCACGACAAGAACATATGCCGTCACGCAAGATCCCCGATCTCACCCTAGAACACGCGACCATAGCCACACCAGGCGGTTGACCATGGACTCGGTATCGAGGCCGCCTGTCATCATAACTACGATACAAAAAGATCGACCCCATAACAACTCGGTCCATAGTGCCGGTGTGCGAATTGGCAGTCCCGTCCACGACGACTATCGTGGCGCCAACTCTCAATACTATGCTGTACCCGCCTCGACGAGTCCTTCTCGCAGCTCTGCGCGGCCATACCATGGTGAAGATCATTCTCGTCGTAGAGACCGCGGAGACAGCCTCTTGAGCCCTCGCGATGCCGAAATTTACCGCCAGTCTCGGCCTTCCGTCACCTACCCAAGCACTTCGCGCCACAGTGCGGCAACCATTGACTATGGCGATGATGGGTACAGGTATACAAATGCCGGCGAATTGGTTCAATATGACCTTGATCACTCTAAGCCATCTCGGACCCAACGACACGATAGTTTTAGTCAAGGCTATTCTCGTCCAGGAGCATCCTACGCCGGCAATCACAGGAGAAGCGATGGTCTAAGATACGAGATCGGCAGGGGCTCTACCGTTCCACACGAACGATCTGATGTGCGTGGTGGTCCTCCGCCATTCACGCGTGGATTTGACAAGGTACATAGAGATAACGCTCCTGACCAGGATCGCCAAGCCCCCCCCGCCGCGCCAAAGCCTCCAAGGCCGATCTCCCAATCTGAAACGTCTGGCGATCTTCGAGACGTTGGAGAGACGAGGCATAGGCGGCCGGTCTCCGTCAGTCAGGAGCCATCTTACTGGCACAGCTCAACTCACACTCGCGACGACGTCCGGGATCGGCGCGGCCACTTTCGTGATCGCAGCGACGATAGAACAGCTGGAAGTCGGCGCCCGCATTCTACTCAGTTCTACGATGACAGTATACCAAATCGTGGTTTCGGTATTCGTACAAGTCCAGAAGGTACTTCAGATGGCCGACGTGATAGCCGACGGGACGGCCGACGGGGACGAGAGGAGTCCCGACGGGGTGATTATCTAGCCTCTGGTGAGGAGCTAATGTCAGAGCCTCGGAAATACACACAAGATCGAATGCTGCCACATTCTGGCGAAAGCAAGCATACAGGGAGCGACCGAAGAGACAGTGACAGAGATGCTTCCAACGGTATTCTTGAAGCCGCGGGTACCGGCCTCGGCATAACTGTAGCAGCGGCTGGTCTTGTTGCTTCTAGGAAGGACAACGAACCTGCCGGGGATCTTTATAAGCAGGAAGATTCTACCTGCGGTCCTGCGGCTGGTAACTCGGACCGTCCTAAGACGTTGGAGCTTTCTGGGAGCTCTTCAACCAAGAGCTCTATTGAGGCCACCAAAGACCGCCATAGCCCTCGGTCAGAAGTCTTCAGGGAAGGCGCTGAGGATTCTATCGGCCTCTCAGATGGTGGGGGGGCTTCCTTGGTCAAGTATGGCACCCCACCGGCATCCGATTCGGATGATGCGGGGAGGGACAGGATGAGAAGGAGGCAATCACCATCTGACTTCTTTGATCCTAGAAACACCGCTGATCTTCGTCGAATACAGGAGCAGCTTGCTGCTCTGAAGATGCATGATAGCCAACAGCAATCTAAAGACGCAGCGGCCGTTGAACCTGGACGCCAAACCCGCACTCCATCTCCGAAGAAGGAAGGTACTGGTATTCCCGTGTCAAATGGGGATGACGACGGCTACGCCGTTGGTTTTCCGGCTCAGGAGAAACATACTCGCCTCGTTTCGCCCCCTCGTGACAAGCGAGACGACAAGCCTCTGAAGAGCATTTTAAAGCAGCCAAGCGCCAAGTTTCCTGAGGAAGCCAACCCAGTGCGGGAAGGTGTTGCTCCTCATAAGGAAGATAAGAAGCTCAAGGAGGTCCCTCCTGGAGCACGTTGGACGAAGGTCAATCGTAAGGTGGTCAATTCTGAGGCTCTCACTATTGGGCAGGAGCGATTCGAGGAACGAGACGATTTCGTAATTGTTTTGCGAGTTCTAAGCAAGGAGGAGATACAGGCATATGCCGCCGCGACTCAGGTTCTGCGAGGTATGCTATTCCAATTGTACGTGTATACTCGAAATTCTAACATTGTTAATAGAACGACGGCGTAATCGGGAGGAGCTGGAGCGCGGGCTGGAGCGCCAGCATCATGATGATGATGACAAGCCCCGGCATCACCGCCGCCCTCGTCGCCATGGTGGGGATTATGGGGATGGTGGAGATGACAATGTTACCGGCAGTGAGACGCGAGATTCTGGCAAATATCTCGATGATGAGGGGAAACAGAAGACGGCTCATGATGAGGGGGGTGGCAGTTCTGCCGATCAACGGCGAGAAGTTGATAAAGATGGTGAGAGGGCGAGGCGATCGAGGCGAGATGATCAAGATGGGGATGCCGTGGGGAAAAGGCGAGATCGAGCCCACGATGATGATAGGGGTGTTGATATTGAGCGCCGGAAGAGGGCGGTCAAGGATGATTACAATAAGCGTGAACCGCAACGCAGTGATGGCGATAGATATTATCCTTAGAGCTACCACGGTGGTTGTCGGGAATATGGTCCGTCCACTGTGAATTATTGGTCATCGAGTCCTCTTATTTCGTGGTCCTTGCAAAGCCGTGTCTTCTGCTGCAATCTTGCTGTTGGGTGATGCTACTTGTGAGCGAGTGCTGGTTGGTGTATGTTGGGAATGCACCACCGGGCAAGTACATCACTAATGGTAAGACGATAAGCTTATGTGCCCAACCAGGTGAACTACGCGCCAATGTTCATACCTGCAGATTCCATGATACACATGGGACTATTAGTCGGCGAGTCAATCGAAGAGAGAGAGCCGATATCTAGTTGTAAATGCCACGATAGGGTAGGGCAGTGACCGTTCAACTGGGCAACGAGTAGCCCAGATCAACCTCGTTATTCAAAGAGCCACTCACTGACTAGGTTGTTGAGTTTTGTAGGTTATTAGGGTCGGGTCGTCTGTCTACGTTGCTATCGCTTGGTAGGAGGCTCTACTTAACAATTCGATTAATAGCAAAATCCACCAATACCACCTGAAACACAGAACAGCGATTTCCTTCCGTATCAATAACCACATAATTACAGAGCAACACAAAGTACCGTATCACCCGCTAGAAAGCTACGGATGAGATGGACATGTAAAGTTGATCTGCCCATTACCCTCCAAGGCACTAATAACTTACGAGCTACAATAACCGCTGGTCACAACACAAGGTCCAATCGAACGAGTATATTTGTAACGCTAAATGGTACGTATAGCGACAGAGCAAAGATCAGAAGAAGCCTGCCTTGGCAACGTCCGGATGGCCACCCATCGGGCCCCGACACTATTATGCATTCGGGATAACATGACATGCATAGATTGCAAGTGGTGATTGATAATTGATAATGCCGCGACAACAAGTCATGACAAAAAGCAGCACACTTTACTAGCCTGCCGAAAGTGAGACGACACTGCCGATCTCGTATGTAGTGGCACTACTCCGTACCGTTAAATTAAACAGTATAAAAATAAAATGCAGAGAGTGGCACACTCGAGTTTTGCGCCGAGAATAAAAAAAAGTCAAATGAAATGAAAGCGAAAACCGAACCGCGTATGTCTTCCGGCCTGAAACAGAGCAGTGGGGACGGCACTTGCAAGCTGACAACCACCACATTACTTCGTATGTACTTCGTAGTTATCACATCCGTGAGTACGGACGGATACCTGTACGCGACGGCGAAAACGGGGTCAAAGAGGCTGTAATTGGCCAAGAGTCAAGAGTGCCAGCCTGGGTGGTTAGAATCGATAACTAGATAAACACATAGGTAAGAGAGCTGCACCCAGCGGCCCGATGGCTGCCCAATGGAGGCGCAGCGCTGGAACGCAACAATCACTCGAAGGTGCCTCGGCCTATTTACCACTTACCTGTACTTCTAACGGCAGAGTAGTCAGACGCGCGACAAGATTTGGTCGGGAAGATGATGAAAGGATACTAGGATTGTAATGCTAATAAATCTAATAAAGAGCCAGGCAAGACTAGCGATTTTTTTGCCATCCTGATGCCGTCAATTCGCGACTCTCCAGGCCATGGCACAGGAACCTACCTTATAACTACTGGTAGGTACATACCTACTAATGTACATGACCAAAAGCAGTTGCCGACTCTCTCTGGCGGATCAGCTAACTAACTACCTAACTTGTGCGCGCCGTTAATAATTGGGTGCCATACAAATTACTGGTAAAGGACTGACTGGTGGGGCACGAAGGGGTGGCGCAATTGGAGTTGGCCATAAAGCCCACCCCTGATGAAACGTCGCTTCCACTTCAACGAATCTGTCGCACATGATATCGAGGGCCATCACTGCGAAATCAACTACAAATTATTCGTTTTCCTAACCAGTGTACAAATTATACCATTTGATATTGGCACTAACTACGGAGTAGTTGAAGCATCTTGATGGTGGACTGGTCCTTGGACCACTCCCCTTCTAGTTGGTTGGACGAGTGGGTTCTGGTCACACGGAGCGCAGCCTTCTTGCCACGTTTGAGAAGAGAATGAATCGCGTTGCTGTCAGCCCCTTTTTTATTGTCGCGCTAACTACGGCTTGGGCTGCCAGCTCAAATTGAATCCGTTCTGCGTACGCGCCGCCGACCTTTGCCAGGGCCGAGCCTCTCGGGAATCTGTCGCCCGCAAGCCCGTCACTTATTAATAATGACTACATAGGTGGGAATTTCTCAAGGATCATTCTACTAGAAGATGGATAAGCAGCGCGACTACTGTACCTGGTCAGCGAGCATGGCCTAGAGTGTGACGTTCGCCCGCCGCCCGTGGTGAACTACACAATTTTCTAGTTACGCAATACAGTAGTTGCAGGTAACTAGGTAGTTACGTAGCTACATGAGCCGAATTTGGAACAGCAACGCCCGGAGGAGAAATATCCAATAAAACCCTACCTGCGACACTTGGTTCAAGCTCCTGGGGAATACAAGATTGAGCGAGGGATAACTAATACTGCATGTACGACTTGTATCACAATCATGTACAATAACGGGCGCATCCACGGATACTGGTAGAAGAGCAAGCACAGAGACATCTCTTCCGCCTACAGGCTGCAGTAGACCCTTCCAGGCTTCTAGCGTTTCTGCCCCAGATCTAGAAGAAAGTTAGTTCTGCATGCACGAAGTATTGTAGCGCAACCTACCACGCCTAGTTGCCAGGCGAGGGCGTGAGAAGATGGATGCTGGTTCGCAAACCCACCGAAGTTGCCAGGTACAGTAGGTACAGTAGTACAACCTACATGCTCGACCCCTGTACGCATCGGTAGCCTTGTGTTGATGGCATGCTAGGTTTCTGCAACGAACTGCAAGTAGGTAGCCCATTCAACGCACATTCCGTATGTAGATATAGATGAGCCCTGTGATATAACCTCATCGAATCGGCGCCAGTATCCGCAGATAGCTCAGCTTCCAGCAGAAGGCGGAACATAGGTTGCATAGGTTGCCACCCCTTGGTGTGCCAAGGCCAATGAAGAACAATGCCCAAGCTGCTTTTAGTCACGCAAGGCCCTCAGTCATCTCTTACTAGTCGTCGGTCTAACTACGCATCCTCGGGCATTTGGGCCATCGTGTGGGTTGGGATGCGATTGAGTGCTGTTCAAAATGCAACGGCTGTCCGCGGTTGGCAGCCCTACGATGTGGCGACTGGAAGCCGTTAACCCACAAGCAAGCTCCGCCCATGTACGCATCTCGGGGTGAAAGTCTGTTTGCTTTCAAGAGATCGTGGCGTCTGACCGGGTTGAAGACACGATCTAAAAGAACCCTGTTCTAGTGCACCTCGAGAGGGGGGAGGCCCCAGCATGTCAGTTCACCAATTCCCAGAACGAGATGACCGCAGCAAAGTTAACTAGCATTGGCTGCATTGGGTGCACCACCAGTTTTTAACCAGCAGTCGATGCACAACGAGGCGGCGGCAGCCACGTCACACACACCCACCGCTCTGCCAATTTGTACTGTAATCGTAGTTAGGGAAGTGCCAAGTTCATGTCCACTGTGCCCTAGCCTGAACCATATGGCCGGGTCACTCATCCGCATGAAGGTTAGACAAAGACAAGTATCCAACGCCGGCCCGGTCCGTCTGGGAAGACGTAAAGTTCTCATAAAAGTACGTAAAAGTAGAGTTGAGTAGTAACTAGCGAAATTAGACGATGCCCTCAGATTCTCGGCGGAGAGGGCATTTTTATCAGCACTGGCTTATTCGTTAGTGTTCTCCAACAGCGACTTGCACGCAAAACACTGTCCGTCACTGACTCACAACTGGCAGTTATTACTTTGCTGGTTTAATCTAACAAGCCAAGAAACAATTACCTCACTCACTAATTGATGGTATGAATCGCATGAGGATATTGGTGTGGGTGGTTTATTTGTATCCGTTCTACACGTACGAAAAGTGAATAGTATGCAGGAATTATTACATAGTATGTAATGCCGTTACTATTATCAATAATGATGTTATTACGACTTCCACACGCAAGTGTATGACAAGGTAGCGCCACCTCGGAAGCAGTAGCGAGCATGAGGCATCGCCTATGTAGAGGCTAGGGGACTCAGGAAGCCAGTCCGACATCTTCGTGGGGCACAGGCAACTGTCCCAAGCCAATTTCGTCGAATCCGCTCACGCCCCATTTCTAGAGACTGCCATTACGCCAAGCCTTCCGGTTTTTGTCCCGAAAGGTTGAGCTTGAACGCTTGGTCCAACTCACTAGCACGCCGTCGCTAAAAAATTGGAAGAAAAAAGGAGTGGGCACTATTAGTTGGAAGCCAATTGTGGATGTCCCGCGTGCCTGTCTGTGCATGCATCTGGCGGATGGATTGAAAAGAGTTATCCAAAAAGAAACAGCCACAAAGTTACGATGGGTAAGTAGGAGACTTCTCACGGGCATGAGCAGGTCCTCCAATGCAATTAGAGCATATGTACTCCGTACCATGTAGAACGCAGGTTCGCCAGGCAAATTACAATTGTCATGGCAGATGTTTCGGATGAGGACTGCATGCTATTAATATCGCCCGAGGTGAGACTTGCTGTCCCCTTTTCCAGGCCCACTGGGCTTGATTTTTTCAGTTAGTTAGGTAGTTGGCTGGTACCAGTACGGTATGTCGGCAGGTCGTTAGGTCCATTTCTTCGGTTACGGGCTGGGAGGCAGAAGAGTCCAAAAGCTCCTTGCTCATAACGACGTCCAGCCCGAGTCTGTGGGCTTGCGAGGACCTTATTATTTTTGAAAACAGGGGCAGCCTTGCCTTGTTGACCCGCTCTCCCTTTCCACCCTGACCTTGTCCTGCGCCAGCCGTTTCTCCAACTCGTTCACTTTTCTCACCGTTTACAAGTGCTCTTCGCTTCTGACATCTCTATCGTGTCCCCTGCACCTATCACGGCGAGTTTGTTTCGATTTGACGTGAGCGAAGAAGAGATCCCGCGACGACAGCATTGCGAATTCCTCCAGCGTACCCCGAGTCTACGCCTGGCGCGCTAGGTGGCCGACAGCACCTTGGGCCTCTCCTGGCAGGTCGACAGCGGTCAGCGTTCGCATCAGTTGCTGCCTGAATTGTCCAACGAGATATCTTCTGCCGACAGCTCAATCTCCTGCATTGGTTCGAGTTGGTTCGCAATAGCCGGAGCAGCAAACTTTCGACCACGGCGCGAAACGATACATATTACATCCTCTACCGACCCTCAACACGGCACGGAGCTACATACCTAGGTACCTAGTTACTGTCGACCAGGCCAAAGTACCAAGACAACCTCTGCGTTTGTGCGCTTGATGCCTCGTCCCAAACTTGGAGACCACCAAACAACACACACAAAGCTAGTTTGTCCTAGTACTCGAGTACGTTTGGCCATCGCCAATAATTGCCCAAACGACTTCTTCATTGTAAGTCTTGGCTTGTCACCAAGCTCCAAGCGACCCAGGTAGCACACACCACATTCAGCATCGACAAGGGTTTCTAGTGCTGACCCAGCATCCAGTCCCACTCTTTATCGCAACAGTTCCACTGCACCCTACCAGTTGATATCGCCAACAGTTGCGAACTGAGACTGCGCGTTGCGATTTGCTTCGCAGACCAGGTAAGATCTTTATAGGACGAGCCGACTTGGCCAGTATATATCATCCGGATATGATGTGGCTGCCCAGCTTTCTTTGCAGATTCAGAAAGGTACTGACGTGAACTAGTGATAGTCTGAGCTTGAGCATTTGCTTGAGCATCATTTCCCCAAACGGCCGGCCTTTGCCCCTTGTGCTCACGACTCGGCGTTCTTCTTACCGCGGTAACTATTCAACACCAGCGTTGACAACGAGCGCCGCTGTTAAATCGACAACACGAGCACTGGACTACTGTGAAGCTTCGACCCCAAGTGAGTTGCCTTTTCCCTTTCTCCATGTCACATTGCTTGTGGCTCGAGACGACGCCAGAAAGCACACAACCAGATGTCCTCGAGTCAGAAAACTTTGCTAACGATGGAACAGTCTTGAACCAGGACATCCACGCAACGATGGCTACGGCTCAGCAAACTCGCAACCACTTTAAAGATGATTTGGTAAGTTGACCGACATTCTTTTACGTCCTTCCTTTGCGCGCGATGAAAGACAAATGGAGCCTAGGAGTGCAAGGCAATGCATACTCCAAGCGGCTTGCTATTGGACTTTCCTGCGTTGGCGTGGTGATAGGTGAGCAAATCGAGGTCGCCGTGGAGCCTCATGTATCCCATCCCACAGCCAAAGGATCCACATCACAAGGCTCCGATGGTGTTCCCTCAAGTGATGGGATACCTTAACCGCTGCTACATCTAGCTGGGGGCTATTGCGCGGCAAAACCGGAAAACTGAGCCACTGTACCAATGAGAAACTCGGAAACCTGAGCCGTCAATGTGACTGCTGGTTGCGAAGTCGCATCGCCTGGAAATGCTGGCAGCCCGGACTGGAAATGACAGGTATTGGTGGTACACCGATTCACTGCCCAGCGGCACCTACAGTGCAGAAGCCAGTGGCTGCACAAACCTGTGGACCCGCTAAGGGCTTATCCGATGGTCAGAAAACGGTTGTCGAACAGCACTACCTACCTACTGAGAGGTAGTACGGCTGATGAGCAAGCTCAAGTACCGTTGAGAGTGCCAACGCCACACGGTGACTTGTGGAGAGCGACCTGGAGACAGAAGCACCACAGAGAGCTGTTGCGCCACACCAGGCTATCTAGGTGCCTTAGTACCTTAGGTACCTAGGTACCTAGCTACCTACCTAGGTAGGTGGGCAGCCTTTGATTCAGGCTCACGGAGCTCCACGTGCGACCCAACATACCGTGATGGCATCAAGGCGGCTAGACCACCACAGCTGTGTACGAAGGAATCTGAAGAACTGATTGCTCGTGAATCATGGTATCAGCCACGACTGGTGGGGAGTGACGGGGGTATTCTCCATCGTGATCAAGGCTGGTCGCGATTGAGGCTACCCGAGTCCAAGCCTGCCTGGTGCCTGGCAGTCCCTGATGCCTGCTTGCTTGCCGTCCGGGTCGAGGACGGCAGACTGGGCATGGGGAAGACGTGGTGCGCCCCCCCGAGACAGGGGCACCCTAGTTGCGACCTGCACAACCGCACACCGCTGTCGCCAACCAAAATGATCCAACCCGTTCTGGTCCGTTGGTTAGTCGCGGCGTAGCGGTGGCTTATTGGATAACCCGGGCTTTTCATTATCACATCGTCACTGCGCTTCGCGATTGGCCATTTAATCAAAAGCCGGAGCTGTTCCTGTTGTCTTGCTTCAAAGCGTCCTCGGCCGACCCCGGCTCGCTGTCTGTCGGGCCACATTCTGCGCTGTGCAGCAAACGCCATCCCCACCCACAGGCTGCCGGACTCGCACATTGCGGTATCCACCCAACCATCACGCCCCCGGCTCTGCATGAGCGCTTCAAGCCCTGGTTCCATCCACCCCTTGTTGAGCAGGCAGGGAAGGGGCCAAGAGGAAGCAAGCCAGCCAGAAAAAAAAACACCCGGGCCAATATGCCATGTGCAGAGCTTCGATGCATCTTTCTTGCATTCCAAGGATGACTTTTTGGGGGCAGAGGAGAAGTGAAAAAAGGCATTGACTGGGAGGTGCAACACAGCCCTCCTCACAGGCTCGGCGCTCTCTTGCCTGTCTGGGCACTAGCCTGGCAGTGCTGATGAGCATTTACTCAGGCTTATTTCCCAGGCAGCGCCGTTATTTTGTCTGTGTCATCTGCTGCCAATCGCCCCCCAAGCCGCATATTTCCCTTCCACTCCCCCGCTCCTAGCCATTGGACAGCGCCCAAGTCCTTTTATCAGCTCATTTTTGTTACCCACTTCAGTTCCTACTTTGGACTCTTTCCTCCCCCCTCCCGCTCTGTCCAGACACGCGCCGCCTGCGACTTTTTAGACTGGCTAGTTTAGCCACCTTGCCCGACCAGCCAAGTCCCAGTCCCAGTCCCAGTCCCAGTCCCAGTCCCAGTCCCAGTCCCAGTCCCAGTCCCAGCAGTCCCAGTCCTAGTCCCGGTCCTCTGCTGAGATGGGTTGATCTACCCCTTTCCCAAGCTGCTGGTTCCCCGTAACCCAGCATCATATGCGGCAATCCCTGTCTGCTCTGGCAAATGTCGACCGCAAGGACCGGTTGTTCGATGCAGAGTAATCCCTGCTGCCCTTAACTGCTGCAGGCTACCCGGTTAGCTTCATTCTGTCGAAGCCGGTTGGTGGTACTTCCCCACGTTGTGGCCCGCCACCCCCCAACGTCCTCTTCACTGGGCAAACAAGCTACGAAGACCCAGTTTGCTTTAATCAGCCCCCTTTCTAGGCCTAGCACGCCTCACCCGTGGCATCCTAGTCGGGTTCCAGGGGACTTGCACGCTCCACCACACGCCTCCCCAGACCTCTTTTTTCTTTCGTGGACAGCGTCAAGGGGCCAAATAAAACACCACCATTACCTGCTTCACGTCTTATTTTCTTTCGCGCGTTGGAGTCTCTTTTATTTCTTCCTATTGATGCCAATGTCTTACTGATGGGCCTTCTCTCTATGCAGCACCCTCCCCACCAGCAACAGCAAGGTCCTCCGCCTGGTACGCAACATCTGCATCACTCGCGCCCGTCCAGCATAGTGCATCAGCAGCATCCCGGCCAGGCTCACCAACAGCAACAATCCGGCCACCACGGCGGCTACCATCCACCGCCTCAATCCCTCCCTTCTGCCTATCAGCAGGGAAATCAATCAGCAAACACCCAGGACAACCTGAACTACTATAATCACCCAAGTCCCTACAGCACACCTGGTGCGACCAGCGGATATACTTCCGCCGGTGAGAACTCCCACGTCACCCGATACTCCTCGCCTTGTGTCACTGCCCGCGCCTTCTGCCAGTCTCACTGAGGCTTTGCGTTACTCTTATCGCTGACGGTACTTATTCACAGACACATCCGATATGATGGCCGCAGCGCAGATGCCCCGACCGCCTTACCCGCCGATGTCGTATCATACCCCCCAGTCCAACTCTCCTGCTTCTGTCGCGTCTCCCTCTCAGCATGACCAGCACCGAAGCCTCTACGGCCAAGCGCCTTCGCAACACATGCCTCAATCTATGTACTACCAGCCGCAGCCGCCCTATCAGCCCATGCCTCCCCAGGCCTCACACTCCCCCTATGGGCATCATGCCCATCATCCCCAACAACCGATGGCTTCGCAAGCCAACTTGATGATGTCGCACACGGCCGCGCCGAATCAGATGCAACAGCATTCACAGGCCGGTATGACCAGCAGCCCCAGGCCAAAGATCGAACCCCAGGTTCCCCTGCAGATGCAAAAGCAAGCTCAAGGCTCCCCAATGCCCCAAGCAAATCACCAGCAACAGCCGCCTCAGATGCAAAGCCCCGGCAGCCACAATGCCGCCGTGAACCCCAATGCCGCTCCTGGCCCCATTCCTGCCACCACACCACTTGTCGTCAGGCAAGACGGCAACGGTGTTCAGTGGATCGCATTTGAGTACTCGCGCGATCGAGTCAAGATGGAATACACTATTCGGTGCGATGTTGAATCTGTGAACACGGACGAGTTGTCGGCCGATTTTAAGCAAGAAAATTGCGTGTACCCTCGTGCCTGTTGTCCCAAGGATCAGTATCGTGGCAACCGATTGATGTACGAGACGGACTGCAATCGTGTTGGCTGGGCTCTTGCGCAGCTCAATGCGCCGCTTCGCGGCAAGCGTGGCCTTATCCAGAGAGCTGTTGACAGCTGGCGCAATAGTAATCAGGATCCTCGCCTACGAAGCCGAAGAGTTCGAAGAATGGCGAAAATGAACAACCGCAAGCAGTCGCAGGGCCCTGCTCATCCACCCGCTGCCCACATGCCCAGCCATGGGCCACCACCAGGTTTGGCAAATGGTCCTGGGTCCATGGGGCCCAGTCCTACGCCGACGATGGAAAGCAAGCCTAGCCTGGCGAGCATGGGCCAACCAATGCACCACCATCATGCAAGCGGACATCCCGGAGCCGCCACCGGAGGAGGAGAGGAAGTCGGTATGTTCCATCAGATGTGATACCCTGCATAGATTTTGCATCTGCCACACCTTTGCCTTATTTTGTTCTTCATACATCATCGCATTGCCCTACTGCACCTCGTCGCATTATATCGCCATTATGCGTTCTGATTTGATGATACCACCCATTTTCTGCCATATATCATCCCCAAGGGAAAAAAGTTCTTGATCGATTTGTTTGTTGCCTCAGTTTGGACCCTCTGCTCTCTGCACTTGATTTTGTCTTGCCCGATTTCCTCATGCTTGTTTGGCTACTGGACCACTCGCTTTTTTTTCTTGTTGTTTATTAGGGGCTTTGGGAGGGCAAAACTCGACGAGAGTTCGTTTTCTATTCCCGGCTTATTTCTATTTGTTACCACTACGTTCTGTTTCTTATGTCGGAAAATCGAGTCGGATCGCTGTTTTACTTGTTTTCCTCTACACATTTCCGCCTCGCAGGCAAGGGGCTGTCGCGAAACTGAGCTGTTGTCTTTTCTTTTCTCTCAGCGCGCAATCCTGTACATTACTGTCATAAGACCACCATCTCAGGTTGCAGCTGTTATTTAGTGTTTCTGCTGGAACGCGCTGCTAGGTGTTGGTTGATTTTTAGATGAGCTCTCTGAGTCTCTGGACTATCAATGTTACACTGAACAGCATTCTTAGTCGCGTTTTGGATCCCCTGCTTGACGAGTCTTCATCTCAAGACTTGTTGTCTTTCCTCGCACTCCGTTCACGCCCTCGCACCATTCACTGCTTTTACTTCGACGGGCTCGCTAACGAACACGCACAGCCGATAGCAACGCCCACCAAAGTGAGCAGCCATTCCCGAATGCTAGCGGCGAAAGCACCCCAATTTCGCAAGACGTACGCACTGCCCATGTCTTTACCGGATATGGTGGCCATAATTACCCCTCCGTCGCACCGCCAGTCGTATCCTCGCATACACCTCGCACCGGGTCCGCGGTACCTATTGACAAACGCAGCCATGGCCCCGGTGATGACCAGAATGGCCTCTTTCCCGATCTCCCGGAGGCGAGGAAGCGCAAATTCGTACTTGTGGAAGATAGTAGACGCGGCTCCCGGCTCCGCGTCCGGGTGACACTCGATGGCGTGGATACGAATGAGATCCCAGATAGTTTCCGAACGCGTGCCAGCGTCTACCCGCACAGCTTTTTCCCTCGAGAAATGCAAAATCCGCCGCCAAACGCCCTAGGCGCCCATTTTTTCTCGGACGATGCGTCGGATGATGGTATTCAAGATACAGACGGGCGCGATGTTAGCAGACGTGGCTCGAAACTGTTATCGTTGTCCACCTCCGTCAAGGTACCATTGCCCGACAACCAGGACGGCGAAATTATGATTCCCAGAATGAAAAGGTCAAGACGTGCGAGAGAACTGAAGCTCAATGACATGGGCCACCGTATGGCCTGGCTGCAAAGCAGAGTCTTTTCGGGTAGGAATTTATTTTTGCAACGCGCCTGTGAGTCGCAACAAAGCCGTCATTGCGACACCATTCACTTACTCTTGTGCACAACTGACCTATGTAGTGGACTGTTACCGCACCAAAACGTGCGCTGCTATCGAAGGCAACATGCAAGACGTTCGAGCTAGTGCAGCACATTTCGAGTTACGTACAGGCAAACGCAGATGGGTTGATCGCAGTCGCCATGGCGCCGACAGATTGGCAGAGTAAAAAAGCTCGCCAGCCTTTGTACAGCTACTCTGCCATGATTCTAAGATTGGCCCCAGATAGTACCCTTCCCTTTATCCTCAGCATTATATCAGTGGTGGGTTCACCTAATTATTTGAATTTCAACATTTTTGGATTATGTTGGACGTCTTATTATAAGCAATAATACTCGGCACGATCTAACGATCTGATGCCGTTTTTCGATCAATGTCAAGTTTATACATGTTAGAAGACCAGCTACCGAGCACTCTCGAGTGGTGTGTTCGCTACATCCATGTTTTGAAGTTACAATAAGTGAAGCGTTGCTAGTGGCGCTAATCGTGTGGCTGCCTACCACGTTACTATTATTCTCAGCTTTGGCGCCACTCAGTGCTGACGTTTGCGCAGACGTGCCCTTGTTACCGCGCTCTACCAGTGAACGCAGGATCGCAACCCACACTACTACGTTTAAAATGTCTCGCTCGCACCAGGCAAAGACTTTGGCCGCGAATCGACAACCTGTGGTAGAACTGGAAGCCCCGCAAACCAGGTCTGCGCCACTCTCCAACCCTGATGCTGCTGCGATTGAACTTCCTGGCGAGTCGTTGGCGCGCCCTAACATGCAGAGTGCACAGTCTCCTGCATCTAGGGACACTCTACATCAAGCAAATCCCTGGCCATTCTATCTGGATGATGTACCGAGCACGGCTGCCGCCCATGGAATGCAACCCAGCAGAGTGACAAGCGACACCAACATCCACCCCGCCAACCCATGGCCTTATCATGGCATTGAGACCGATAGCGCCGACAAGCTTAATACTTTGGGGCATGGAAGAAGTCTCAGCAACTCGATTGGTATGGCAACATCATATAGGGAAGCTGATGAAAACTGGCTGGGGCGGTTTGCCCCAAATTTGCACAATGGAAAATACGCAGTGGACGGCGTCACATCAGAGAATGGTTACGATCTTGCCCCAGACGGGGAACACGAGCAACACTCCTCAACTTCAGTCATGCTGGACTTCCAACGGACAAATATTCAGATGACGACCTCAATGGGGTGGCTGAGGCAAGCAAACACCAACGCCGATGGTGGCTCGTCGTTGGACGATATTGCCATGCCTCTATACGCGGCCCAAATTTCTGGAAACGTGCACCGCACTAGCACTCCTGGTAAAATGAGTACGTAATAAAGCAATGACGCCCATTCTGTAGGCCAGGATTAAAGAAGCTCAATTCGCTGACATACAAGGACCAGATAACACTGCACAAGACACTCAAAGCGCACCAAATGTGAATGAGGACAGCGTTGTTGGACCAGAGATGCCTTCAAAATTTACAGATACTGCTATGCTGGAGCCTCGAAGAGAGCATATACTTCCAGCCAACTTACTCTCCGATTCCCGAATACCAAACCGAGCCAACGCAAATGAAACTCTACACTCTCAGCAAACATGGCACTCATCAAATGGAGCATACTCTCAACAACCACCACGCTACTCTGCGGACGAAAGCTCGGCCTCAATTTTCGAGAATGGACCTATCGATGACTGCTCACAAGGCCAGAACTCGTATTCTAGGAATACAGGTACTACTCAGCCTTTCGTGACTATGCCGGAATCTCCAGCAGATGCAACTTCTGAAGGGCAAGCATCATCTCCGGAGCCCAGTCCCCGCCTAGAGGCGCCACCTTTGCCGCCACGATATCCTAGAGAGGCCAGGACCATGGTAGGGCTAAGTAACGGGCCTCACAACAATATAGCTTTCCCTCCACCACCGAAGAGGCACAATGTGCCACCTCCGCAGCGACCAACGATGTTGTCTTCCTCACTCTCCTCGTCAAGGTTCCTGAAGAGCTCGTCGGCGATGAAATGGATAGAGAAGACAAACAAAGCAATAGAAGATAAGCTGGATGCTGTCCTTCAGGGCCCTGCTGGACATCCCGGCCGTCCTGCCTACGTCAGCCGCCCTCAACACCCAGGCCAGCAGGCACCCTCGTCACATACAAGTCGTACAGCCTAACTCATGTATTCCGCAGAGAGAAGAAGCGAAGTGGAATTCATGCGCGAGAGTCTAGACACGACGCTTGATCGCCCCATTAGCCAAGCGGTCTGATGCCAACCTTGCGCTCTATTGTGTTTGGTCCTCTCGATTGGTATCTGAGTGGCTGTTCTTCGTTCGCTTATTAGGAAATAATGCTTCACGAACTCTCACGAGAAGCGTCGCCTTCACTACAATTCCTGCGCGTCGATTTCTGGAGGGTGTTGCAGTCGTTCGACACACTTGTTAGTCTTTCATGCGACCACTCGAATTCCAAATTACATGGAACGACTTGTAAGGCAAATTTAGAATGAATCTAATTCATGCTTAGATCTTGTGCTCTCTGGCCGAGGAGGTCGTGCTCTCTGGCTGAGGCGGTTGTGCGTGGTAAAAGATGTCAATGGGCGCGTCTCACAAGTAGATCCGACGCGCTTGACCTGACAGAGTTGGTGCGCAGAAACTCGACGCTCCCAATTAAGGAATAGCCGGAATAACTCTGGGCCCTTGTGTGCTGATTGCACCGAGTGCGTTGTGAGCTGATGCAAGCCTGACGCCCGCTGACTCGTCCTGAATCTTCGACCGCGCCCAATGCGTTGCCATATGAGCAGGGAAGGGCATGGAGCCCAAGCTGGCGCCGCCAGTGCCACGCAATTTTCCGACACACTATGCTACTATTATCTTTAATGCAGAGCAGAAATGGTAGCAACTCAGACTACTATGCTTGCATTTTCTTGAGACCCGCCCTTCGTTCTCAACAAAGACTCCATTTACGAAGGCCGGCGGGTGCAAAGGAAATAGTGGACAGTGGTTAGGCACTTACCAAATACTACTGGTGAGGAAGACAGCGATTGACAAGAAGGGAAATCATTTGTTATTAAATTAATAAGAATAAGGACAATAACTTTACTAAAGTTCCTTTCTATTCAAGTATATTTGTCACGGATTACCGGTGTATCTTGTCACCCTTGTGTCAGATACAGCTATTTCAGTGTTCTTTCCCATTTCAGTACAGGGCCAACGCCGCAGTTTGTCAGCCAAAAAAAAGGTACCTCTGACAGACCACCACCCTACCTAGGTACACACAAAGGACCACTGGCACAGGCCACACAGGCGGCAACACCGCTCCACTCAGAGCACGGAGCCTGGCCTCAAAATTCCTGCTCATAAGGCCCCCTTCTCCTCACTCCATAGACCCTTCACCTACCCATTGTCCTCATCCACCCATCCTCTTCCCATCCGCCAACCTTATCATCGCCCGTTTGGCATCTACTCCTTGAGACTGCTCTCTTTTCGAATTTGGACCAGGTTAAAAGAATTTGGACCAGATTAAGGGCCTTAGCCTAGGAAATCTCGCCCGACTTTGCGTGGAATTCTCGCTCTCCGCTACTCGCCACCATCAGGTCGAAAAGCCGTCACCGCCCGAGTCTCGCCATACAACACCGACAGTCGTCATTTACATCTGCATTCATTGCAACCTCTCGTGAGTACTATCTATTGCATTACTTCCAAAACACCGTCACTTGATTTATCGTCGTTTGATTTGCTGGACCTGGTGCCGGCCTCCTTTTGGCTGCTACTTTGGATAGGCCCGTCACTTGGAAATCATCTTGGGCCGGTTTCAGCAGCCCAAGCCGTTATACAAATTTGACACTACCTGACACTGGCTATATTGAGCTCGGCCCTTTGATCTCTCGCTGACACCATCTGCTTCTTGACCCTAGGTGTCTTACCCACCCGTCCACTCGAACCCAAATTCTCCTCAGTTAATCCACCCCCAGAACGTTCAGGATGACGACCATGGTATGATAAAATACGGCGCTTTGCGAATGGATGGCCTGTAGGCTGCCGCTCACTCGGCAATTCGATGAAAGAAAAAAACATGTACTAATACAAGCGAACAGGATCTCCGTGTCGGCAACAAATACCGAATCGGTCGAAAGATCGGCTCTGGTTCGTTTGGCGACATTTATTTGGGTACCAACATTATCTCTGGGGAGGAAATTGCCATCAAGCTGGAATCCGTCAAGGCAAAGCATCCTCAGCTTGAATACGAGGCACGCGTGTACAAGTCGTTGGCTGGTGGCGTGGGCATCCCATTCGTCCGATGGTTCGGAACCGAATGTGACTACAATGCCATGGTCCTCGATCTTCTTGGACCCAGCTTGGAGGACTTGTTCAACTTTTGCAACCGCAAATTCTCGCTGAAGACGGTGCTCCTTCTTGCCGACCAGCTTATCTCTCGCATCGAATATATCCACGCCAAGAGTTTCATCCATCGGGACATCAAGCCTGACAACTTCTTGATGGGCATCGGAAAGCGTGGAAACCAAGTCAACGTCATTGACTTTGGTCTGGCCAAGAAGTACCGTGACCCAAAGACTCATTTTCACATTCCTTACCGTGAGAACAAAAACCTGACCGGTACCGCTCGCTACGCCTCAATCAACACCCATCTTGGCGTGGAGCAGTCTCGCAGAGATGACATGGAGTCTCTTGGCTACGTTATGCTCTACTTCTGCCGTGGCTCTCTACCCTGGCAGGGATTGAAGGCTGCTACCAAGAAGCAGAAGTATGACCGCATCATGGAGAAGAAGATGACAACACCCACCGAAGTCCTGTGCCGAGGCTTTCCCAACGAGTTCGCCATCTACCTGAACTACACACGTTCTCTCCGTTTCGATGACAAGCCAGACTACAGCTACTTGCGCAAGATTTTCCGTGACCTCTTCGTCAGAGAAGGCTTCCAGTACGACTATGTCTTTGACTGGACTGTGTACAAGTACCAGAAGAATGCCCAGGCTATTGCTCAGGCTGTTGGTCAGGCTGCCGACGATGACGAGAAGGCACGCGCTTCGCGAGCAAACGCCACTGCAGCCACCCCGTCGGGTGCGGCCAAGCCCGGTGCCATCCCCAGCTCTCGCCGCAAGATGCTCGAGCGTGGATCTGGTGCTGGCGTTGATACTCCTGACACCAACCGCGCTATCGGCGGAAGCGATAGGATGTGAGTCCCTTTAGCAAGCCTAACCTAATTTCTCAACGGACTTACAAGGACATGTGGACTTGACATTCAAACGTCGCACCGGAAAGACATTTGCTGACAAGTGCGGCTGACTCAGTGGACGATAAACAGGCTTCGCTCTGCTTCAAAAGAAGCGAGACACGCCTCTGGCAACTACCGACACAAATGACGTTTATAACCGCTCAGCTTTTGGCATCTTCTTGAGACTGCCGCCGGGGATATCGTTGCCACAATACAGGCCAGCTGAGTGCAGCCAAGTGGCGGCTGCCATGCGGTGGCAATTGTTGAAAGTACCGTCTCTATTTACATACAGCGGCCTCCAGTCTTTCTCTAAACAACGCATCGCACTATCTTGTTCTTCGACGCATCATACATTTACGACTTCAGCCATGGCTCGGATGGCATTGCACGTGGGAAGTATTCATCAGGCCAACCTCACGCACGACCTATGTTTGTTTCCCCGTCGATGCTCCATCGGAAAGGCATGTCCGGGGATGTCACGCGGCATTCCCGAAGCTCCTGGGCCATTCTGTCACACCGCTGGGGAAGGGAAGCTTGTGGCTTTCTCTCACGGTAGACTACACACTATTGCGGTCCTACGAATCTAGCTCGTCGATGCGGAGGATGCGTTCAGGATTCAGTTTTCCTTGTTCTTTATGTTGCTGTTCGTGTTTTTATTTCATCTTTGGATGGGGATTCGGATTCCTGGGTCGCCTAGCTGATTCGATACGAGTCAACTCAGCGTCAAGTTTCGGCGGAGTTGAAAGTGCCATGGCTGTATGATTGTCATATGGACGTCCGACGGCAGTCAATTCGTGCTGACGAACAGCCGCGCCGCGCCGCGTATGCTGGAAAGACCATGGACAAGTGTGTTGCTCGGCTTTTTGGACGAAAGCCTCTCACGGAAGCTTCCTACCGAGGAACGCTGGAGATTACTTGTTTGTGCAAGTCCGGGGTCATGGACGCTCGCACGGGAAACCACCAGCAGTAGGCACATGGAGACGCTCGCCACAGGAGCCTCTGGCCCATTATAAGAGTGTGCACCGATAGTTAACAGATTGCTTTTTCTTTTAAACCCTTTTGCTGCTAATGAATCAGCCGTGACAGCAAGGTGTTATCAGTGTAGTTGGCCAGAATTCATGAACAAGCTCAATTTTATGATAGCGCTCGTGTCAAACGGTCCTTCAACTGCGCTGCCATAACCGCTTGCCACAATGTTGCAGTCCACAAGAATGTTCGTTTCTGTTGGGCGGTAGGTACTCGAAACACCAGTGCTGGCCACTATCTACCTACCTATAGGTAGGTAGGCACCCAATGACTCGTATATCAGGTAGTTTTGAAGTGGCTGTGTAAGGCACAGTTGAGAGAGACCAGATAATAAGGTACCTGTTATCGCCTCCCTCTACTAATAAGTCAACGTACCTTGCATCGCTGTCAGTATCGTAGGTACCCACCTTCCTTTGGGGCTGAGGACGCCGCGTGCCGCTTGGCTGCTCTGTCTGTCTGTAGTACAGGCTGGTAGCACGTGCACGGCATACCAGAACCCAAGTCAAGCTCTCACCCTTTTCTTCATTGCATCTCAAAAACTGAAGTGCGTACACTGAGGGATAATGCACGATGACGCCGTCAACTGTTGATCTGCTGTTTCTGACGTTTAACTGCGCAAAGGCATTAATTAATACTCCAGTATTTGCCAACCACCTTGAGGCGGCATTTGGGCAGAATGCCACAGATTTGCCAGACCTCATTGTCTTGTGCGTACTGATGAATGCGACACAGCATCTGCCGCGCAAAGCTCTGTACTAATATCGACAAGGTCTCTCCAAGAAGTTGCTCCTCTGAGTTACGCTTTCATCGGCGATTATTTTCTACGGCCGTACATCGAACGTTTCGACACTGCTATTAATCAAGCTGCTTCCCAGCACGTGTTGAAGCACGAAGTGCCAGACTTGGTATCGGCTACCGAACGAGCGACTCAGCGAAAGCGCTATGAGCTGATGAAATCGAAAAATGTTGGGTATACCGCTATTCTGCTGTTTGCCAAGGACTCGAGTCGCATTAGAGATATCAAGGAATCAGAAGTTGGGTTCGGCGCTGCCGATATGGGAAACAAGGGTGCCGTTGGTCTCAGAACCGTTTACGATGCCGGGGAAAGTGGTTCTGCGGAGCTGACGTTTGTTGCAACACATTTGGCAGCCATGGAATGGAATCTGCCTCGGCGCAATGCTAACTGGGCTTCCATTATGCGATGCATGACATTTGGGGACCCGCTGCCTCTGCTCGAATTGATGCGTAGTGGGAGCCCTCCGCCATCTGACGGCGGCACACAAGAGGAGGGTGCAGGGTTGTTGCAAGGCGAAAGAAATCTGCCAGACTTTGATATGCTGCAGAAACAACTCCAGGAACTATCATTGTTCAAGCCCACGTCTCATCTCTTCGTCGGCGGAGATCTCAACTATCGTATATCAACAAGCTCCCCGCCTCCCAACGCCGCCTTCCCAAGTCTGGATGCAGGATCAGATAACTATTACCCGAGATTCTTCGATTTAGACCAGCTCACTCGGGAAAAGGCGGCAGGCCGGACCATGCATGGCTTGACCGAGGCCCCGGTACACTTTCCTCCTACTTACAAATACGATGTGCTAGAGACCGACGGCAAGGATGGCGACACGATGGACCCTGTTCCATGGAGATTCGCCCCGCACCGCTATCCTAGCTGGACAGACCGTATTTTGTACATGGACTTGCCCAGCTGGGTTGCTCCTGAGCAGGGCCGCAGCATCAAGGTCCACGCGTACGATGCTCTTCCGCTGATGCGTACAAGCGATCACCGACCAGTTTTTCTTCGCATCGAAGCTCCCATGCTGAGCTTGTCGGACTTGACACCGACCACAGAGTCGCTGGCCACCTCTACGGATCCTCGAGTCCGGCTGCCGACAGAGCTGGACCCAGAGGCATGGGAGCGTCGCGCAGCGGCGAGACGGCGCGAACTTCTCTTGGGCTGGAGCATGTTCCTCTGGAGCACAAAAGAGGGTGCATGCATCCTGGCCACTTTCTTAGTTGCCTCACTTAGTGCGTACTGGGTCTATCGCTCTGCATAGAAATATACACACTGTATTGTACGGTCTCTATAAACTGCTTCGTGAAAGCTCTTCCCGCAATGCAGCGGGTCTGCACATGTTGGCCACGGTTGCCACGGCATGGCTCGCTCGCCCAGGTCTTCTTTTGCAATAACCTGTGAGCTGCCCACGCCAGCTGTTCCAATGTCAGTGAAGCAGGTCAACCTCGTGTTGATAAACTGGTAGCCTAAAAGTCGATAAAGTACTGATCATACTGATGGGCCATGTCTAACGTATATGTGTCTCGCTTCCCGTCGTCCTCTGGATATATGTCGAAACACTGCGCGTCGCCAGGATAGCGAACGGGCGGGATAATTGGCCCCGAGGTCCGTCGCTGCAGTATATCATCCCAGCTGAGATCCCGGAAGAAGGGGTGCGATTTTACCCTACCTGCTCCGCCGCTAAGGTTTCCTAGTCTCCGTGATCGATCGACCGTGCAGAAAGAGCAAATGATGTCCCTAGCCTGTTGAGAGATTGGCGGGTCTGCTGGGAAAGTGATGCGTTTCTCTACAATCCTGTAGCAAGAATTAGGAGCAGCTCTCACACACTAAACCACAACTTTGCTCACTGTTTGTATATCTCAAGCGGATTTTGGTGCCAGAATGGGGGATAGCCCGTAAGAAACTCGAATAGTAGAATGCCGAGCGCCCACCAGTCCACGGCTGTAGTGTGTCCTTTGTTTTGTATCACCTCCGGTGCCAAGTATTCCGGTGTCCCGCAGAGTGTGTACGTCTCTACAGGTCGGTCGTCGTGATGCCCAAGCCGCTTGGCGAACCCGAAGTCAACAAGCTTGATGTGGCCATTCCTGTCGAGAAGCAGGTTCTCAGGTTTGAGATCCCTGTAAGCCACGCCACCCTGATGCTCGTGGAGGTACTCGAGAACTAAAACAATCTCCGCAGCGTAGAACCGGGCGACCGGCTCGTCAAAGCGACGAAACTTTCTGAGATAGCTGAAGAGCTCGCCGCCAGGTACATAGTCCAGGAGCATATAGAGAGAGTCAGCGTCGGCAAATGAGGCGATCAGGTTCGTAATGAAGGGGTGGCCGGCAACATCAGCCAGGACAGCGCGTTCGTGACGCACATGATCGATCTGCTTTAGCTTGATGACCTCTGTCTTTCGAAGAATTTTTAAGGCATACACTTCGGCATCTTCCTGGTCAAGCGCCACAGTTGCGCCGGCTGGCCGGACAAGGCAGACTCGCGCAAATGTCCCTGAGAAAGGTTAGTGGGCTGCGAGGGGAGCGCGGCAGACAACGGAGGGAGGGCAGGCAAACCTGTGCCGAGCGTTCTGACGAGCTTGAAATTAGACAGCTTGAGGCCGCGCACTGGCGGCAGTGGCTGCACCATGCCGCTGCCATGAGCCGGCATGTTGGGCTCCGCATCCGTGATGCCATAGCCAGCAGGCTGGGCAACAAAAGAAGACGCCATGGCGCCAGCGATGTATCAAGCGTAGCGACCGTAGTGCGATCAAAGAGCAGCGATGGCCATCCGCGGCACGCGATCGATCTTGTGATTACAAACCACTGTGTCCAGCACGGCCAGGTCAAGGATCAATGTTGTGATCTGGTGCGATCCATGACCGCAACCAAGCTGGCGGGTGGCGGATGGCGGATGGCGGACTGGTAGGGCGTTCCGCTTTAGTTTGAGAAGACTCGTGGCAGTCTGGGCCGGAGGCTTCCCAAGGACGGTTGGCTGGTCAGAGGAGCTGTTATGTGCAGATGTGATGCAAGTGGCCCTGCCTCAACTGCGACATGTTAACCGCATAGACCGCATAGCGGCGGGCGCTGCGGAGGTCGCTAAGCAGGGATAATTAAATTAGGCTAAATAAGGCTAGCTGATATGAGCTGAACGACCTCATTGCTTATTCCCTCTATCTAGCTTACTTAATACTAATATACAAATTACTATTAGTATTAAAAGGTGTTAAGATATTATTCTCTTTTGAATTTAAAATTATAGTAGAATAATATTCAATACTAACCTAAACCGTATTATAGTAGGCTCTCTAGTATAATCATATTAATAAACACTATTATTAAATACTTTTTAAATATTGAAAATAGAATATTATATAATTTTAAAATCACTTTTAGATTACCTTGATAGAATAAAAATTTAAAACTTATGCGTAGAAAATAGAGAGTAAAGAGCGTCCTATCAGATTTACTATAGATGTTTAGCGTCCATTTTCAACGTTTAATACGCTGCAGAGTTAGTGTTTTGGTGTGGAGCCGCCTTGATCTCGCAGTACCCGATGTACCTCTCGCACCCCACCATGGGCTGGTACATGTAGGAAGGAGAAGGGAGGTCCAGCGCCAGAGAGCAACGAGCGCAGCTATCAAGAAGCCACGCCAGCGAACCGAGGGGACCAATCCGTCCTTTGCACGCATCCACGAGCAACACGGTCCGCAAGCCCATCCAACCTCCCCCTGACGCTTTACCAACCGCGTTCCCCTCTGCTGCGCTCCGCCGCACACGGTTTGGCGTGCTCACTCCAGGCTGCGACCAAGGACCGCGTTCCGTCGCCATGCGCGTCTGATAAAAAGGCAGAAACCATGTTCTCCAACTTTACCAATATAGTGCAGAAGGCACAGCAGCTCATTGATCCCTCACAGGGACTGAACCTATCCAGTTCCGACCGAAATCCCTCGAAAGCGTCGCTGTTCCAGAGCCAGTTCCGTCTCCCGGCGTCCCAGAACCCCCTCTGCGAGATCACGGCCGAGCTCACTATCCCACCATCGAATGCTACAGGAGGCGATAAGGAGAACGACAGAGGCTGGCACTACGCGGGCAAGCTGCACCTGTCCGAAGCGTTCATCTGCTTCTCGACGACGCCCACAAGCTTCCTGCAGTCGGCAAGCACGAGCACCTCATCTGCCTTTACCGGCCAGACGTACGGCGGCGGGCCCAGCGGGAATGGCTTCACATTCCCTCTGTGCGCGATCAGGCGTGTAGAAAGGCTGAACAGCCAGAATTTTCAGGTACTAGGGCCTAGCCCGGGTTCGTGAGGCCGTTACTAACAGCGCATATGTAGTTTGCGCTTGCCATCACGACATGGAATGGACTCCTGGCGGAAAATTCGAAAGAGAAGGACAATGGCACGAAAAAGAATAGAGAGAACAAAGAACAACGCATAACCATCCACCTCGCGGGTTCCAGACAGGCGTGTGAGCGATTCTGCGACGGCCTGAAGAAGGGCCTGCGAGCTGGCGTCGGCAACGTCGGCAAGCTGCGCAGGATTGTCGCGGAATGCTACTCGGAATACCTCCTTAGGCCGGAGGAGAAAAGGGATAGCGATCCTCCTGATGCAGGACTCGGCCTAACGTTTCGCTACCCCGGCGACCCGAAAAAACTGAGAGATCGGGCCAAGATGCGGCTTTGGGCCGAGTACCTGCGGGATAACGGCCGAGCCGCCACGCTCATCCGGCAACCCACGTTTCACAAGCTCATCCGGGTCGGTTTACCAAACCGGCTTCGAGGTGAGATGTGGGAGCTGACCTCTGGCTCGCTGTACCTGCGCTTAGAGTCCCCGGCTCTCTACGCGGACACGCTAGCCAAGTTCGAGGGCCAGGAGTCGCTCGCCATCGATGAGATCGAGAAAGATCTTAACAGGAGCTTACCAGAATATCCTGGGTTTCAGAGTGAAGAGGGCATCGGTCGTCTCCGCCGCGTGTTGACCGCCTACAGTTGGGTGGACACGGACGTCGGCTACTGCCAAGCGATGAACATTGTCGTGGCCGCTCTCCTCATATACATGTCCGAATCGCAGGCCTTCTTCCTTCTCTCCGCTCTCTGCGACAGGCTGGTACCCGGATACTACTCCACCACCATGTACGGAACCCTCCTCGACCAGAAAGTATTCGAGTCTCTTGTCGAGCGCACCATGCCTGTACTGTGGGATCACCTCGTCAAGAGCGACGTCCAGCTCTCTGTGGTGTCGCTGCCGTGGTTCCTTTCCCTATACATCAACTCCATGCCTCTTGTGTTCGCCTTCCGTGTCTTGGACGTCTTCTTCGTAGAGGGCCCCAAAGTGCTCTTCCAGGTAGGCCTAGCCATTCTGCGCATCAACGGTGAGGAGCTGCTCGATGCCGCCGACGACGGCGCTTTCATATCGGTCCTGAAGACGTACTTTGCGCGGCTGGACCAATCTGCCCACCCCAAGTCCGAGAACCCCAAGCTCCGCGCCGTCACCCGCTTCCAGGAGCTCATGGTTGTCGCCTTTAAAGAGTTCTCAGGCATCACCCACAGCAGTATCACAGAGCTGCGACTGCAGAATAAGGATGCTGTCCTCAAAAATATCGAGAGCTTTGCCAAAAGAACCGCGATCCGGAATTTAGGCCCGGACAGCAAACTCCTCTCCAACGACGAGCTGGCCTCAGTCTACGACAGGTTCTATAATGTGCTGTACGAACGTCAGCAGCGAGATTGTGTGATGCAGGAGGAGGCGCAGCGCCGCGCCAAAGCCAGCAGGATGCGCGCATCCGAGATCTTCGCCGCCCGCGCCCCGGATCAGGTCGAAAAGGGTCGCGTGGGACTGGGGCCAAGCACCAGTTTGATGGACTACGACGCCTTCCGCGAGTTTCTCGCCAGTATGTCGCGGTGGGCAGTGTCGGACTCGCCCGCCCAGTCTACGAGAAGCACCGGGGTGGAGACGGAGCGCCACGGCAGGGCGAATGGCGTCCGGGGCCTCTCCCGCAGCAGCTCGCCTTGGGGACTCGGACCCGAGCCGGCCCAGCACGAGTTCCTAGAGCGCCTCTTCAAGAAATGGGACTTTGACGGCAACCAGGCTCTCACCTTACAAAACGTCGTGTCTGGCCTTGCAGGCATCAAAGGCAGGAAAGATATCATGGGCACTATCACGTACTTTTTTGAGCTCTACGACGATGATGAAGATGGCAAGGTCGATCGAGAGGGCATCTTACGCATCTCGGAGGCGCTTTTGTTCCTGTCACGGCGTGGCTTAGAGGGCTCTTTAAGCCCGTCCACGACAGCCAGCGCGGAGGGCAGCACCGAGCTTCTTGGCAGCCAGGGCACCAGTGCGTCTGCAAGTGAGAGATTTCTCGGCAGCGTCAGCGCATTCATTCGTCGGTGCTTTGAGTATGCAGATCCAGACTATCCGAAGAACAATGCCGAAAATGAGGATCTGATCGCCGTCGACGATGGTAAAGAATCCAAAGCTGCAGACGCGTTTGCTGTGGGTGATGATGATGACGATGACGACGATGGCAGAGACGAATTCAAGCCAGCCGCACATACAGGGGATGATGACCTACTCAGTCTCGCGGCCGGCGACAAGGCCACCGCAGAAGGTGAGGGCATCTCGAGCCGCAGTACCAGCAAGGCAAAGGCCGAAGCCGCCAATGCAGCGCTCGACCCCGCTCACCCACTTCACATCACTCTACCCACGTTCCGGATGGTAGTGTTGGCTGATGAGCTCTTGGAGCAGTTCTTTGAGTCCTCATTTCCCTTATCCTTCCACATCGTGGACGGGGTTACGAACACTGTTACTTCGCCTGGGTCCCTGACAACCTTTTCCAGTTTGGGCTTCAGTACAAGGCACCAAATCCCGGCACCGATCGGGCCACCCGGTGCGGGACGGGGACTGCGCGGCGTCTTGGATAATATAGTGACGGACGGCATGCGAGTCGCTACGGAGGTGCGCCGACGCATGGAAGAGGCGCAGAGAGAGCTAGAGAAGAACGCCATCCCCGGCCAACGTGCCTACGATGACGATGATGACGATGATGACATGGCTCTACGGGCAGAGGTGGCGTCTGGCCGGAGTGCAGACATTGAGCGCCGCTCTGTGCGAAGCTCCGACCGAGACTTGCTGGACGGTGCTGATGCATACGCTGGCGCCTCGGCCAAGGAAGCCGGGGAGCGATTGGTGGACGTTGATGTGGAGGAGAGATCTGGCGCCAAATCTGTAGCACATGAGGGTGTGGGCGTGGTGGAATTTGACACTTAAAGGGGGGAGGCATTGTACAATACATGCACCAGTTTCATACCAGTTTTTTACCCGTTGCAAAGCAGCTTTCACAAGTTGTATAAAGCCAATAACGGCAGCCCATTGCGATGTTCATATGTCACAGTCCGTGCTCCGCATGTCTGTCAGCCTTGGCGCTCCTGGGTGCGGCAGCATCTGTGGCAGCATCTGTGGCAGCATCCCATTCGAGCTCAAAGCCTTCTTCCCAGGCCTCCACTCCCTTCAGTGTCATCATTGGCTTGGTCGTAGAGTCACCCCTTGTTGCGAACCAGGAAGGGTCGTCTTGAAGGCGTGCGTGTCCCGGCACTGGAAGACGCAGACGGAGCAGGCTCGCAGTTGATAAAGCAGGACACTATATCAAGATATGATTTGGTACTGTTATTCAAGCTCTAAGTGTCATGACCCGCCGCCCCTAACTCGAGGTACACGATGCCTTTCCCAACGTCTCCGAGGGTGCGACAGAGTATGAATTAATTATAGGTGTTGAGCAGGTAGAGTGGCTGGTTCGTATTGGTTTTGGATGTGTCGGTTTCTTTTGAGCTAAGAAGGGAAATTGAATTAAATACACCGACGATTTTAGTAGTGTTTTGTGCTATGCTAATTAATCGTTTAATGGTTTAGGTTTGTTGGCTTGATTGCTTGCTGGCCTGCCTGTAAATAAATAGTAGTGGTGTGTGCAGGCTGCTTAGTTAATATCTTACCTTGGACACATTGTGGTGGTCGATACGGCGTTTATTATTATTTGTTGTTATTGTGTTGGGTTTCTTTTTTTTTTAATCTTAGGTTTCTTTTTCTTTTTCTTTTTATCTTAGTGTTCTTGCTAAGTACAGATTGTGCGGATTATAATCAATATTGGTTTTCCGTTCTTGTGTTCTTAACTTGGCGTTCGTACTTGCTCTTTTTCTTCTTTTTTTCTTTTTTTTTTTCTGGTGTGTCATCACGCGAAATGCTCTTCACGACATAATCGCAAACATTCGCAGCAATTCACTAAAAGGTTTACAAAATACGACGTTGTAAAACCTAGATAGCATTTATCTTTACGTTTATGAGCTTTTTTTTGTTCAGAGTTAGGCTGCTGCCGGTGCTATTCTTTTTTCTTTCTTTTTCGTTGATATGCGAGCCTGTTTACGAAATGGCCTCTTATCCTAGCTAGCTGGGCTGGTTCCTTTTTACCTAAAAGAAACATTCCAATCACAGTCTGAATATATGTCCTCTTCGCTTAAAATTTTCTGCGGGATTTATAGCTTCGTGAGAGACACCCTGCTCACAAATTACCAGTGTGTGTGCCAGTGGTGTTCGGCGGACACGCTGTCTGTCGGTGAGTCTAGATCGAACACCTGCAATCTCTGCTCTACGCACAGGTTGGTCAAGTCTCGAGAAGCAAGCTGTCTTGTCGTCTCCAGTGATAACCACAACTGGAAGCATCCCGCTCCGTACCAAGTTTCCCCGCGATATCGTAAGTCCTGCGACAAGGGACAATAAGAACAATAAGCTCGTAAAGAGCTGCTACTACAGTGCCGTGTAGCTGTCACATTAGGGCAACAGCATCGGCTGTCTCTTCCGGTAGCCTCTTCGGATAACTACCTACTCCGTATGGAGGGTCTGCCCAGATGACGTCGAACAGTCGAGAGTGTCTGCGGGACATCCGACCTCGGCCCTGCAGAACGGAGTACGTACTCCTCATTCGTGGTTAGGCGGTACGAATAGTAGCATTTTTCAACCGAAACGGCCGCCTATAGTCTCAGCTATGTACTACCTTCATAAGTATGGAAGTATGGAAGTATGGTTGATCATAAGCCCATCTCTGGCGATCCGGTGTTCATAGTTAGCTCTCAACTTGGCACCAAAGTTATCTGCCCCAGTGGATCGTTGATAAAAGTTAGATACATAGGTAGTTATCTTATTGGAACGCAAAAGTCAGGGCGCTCACTAGCGCTCCGGAACAAACACACGCGCTCGTGGGCCAGGTGGTAGGACAACTGCCCGGCACCCCCTTTTTGGTGCCAGGGCTTAATCCGTTGTCACCCCACGCATGAGCCAGTCCCTTCATCACCAACACTCCCCCATACACGCAATATCGAGGGGCTTGCGATACCCTGATCACCTACCGACGTTCCCCCAGCGATACGCCATCAGCATTCTGCTCCAACAGAACATCACAATGTCTTCCGAGCCGCCAGGTAAGAGTGAAGATATGGGGGCGATCAGAGCGCACGCAGCTCTGCCGCTGGGACCCCGCCGTCAAAGCCCTGACGATGAATGTTTCGCGGCGGGCTTGTCTCGTCTTGGAACCCATCTAACTCCCTCGTGTTCTAGGGCAGCAAGGGGGCAAGGCAACGCATCTGTCGGCGAATCTCCTTTCCAACAATCCCTTCCGAAACCGAGCTGCGTCTCCGTCAAACGCAGCGGCTGGGCTGTCGAATTCTCCGTTTGACGACCCTACATCTCACCGACCGCTTTCGCGCAATCCTTTCCTGGACCAACCTCCGGCCGTGCGCTCACCCGGCGCAGTGTCTACTCATTCTGACTCCCAGAGCTTGTCAGCGGAGGATATATTTGTAGGTTCAGCCGCCGGCCAGCGCTAATTGCCTGCCTTCTCCTGGGCATTGCGCTTGCCTCTATCTCCAGCCTGCTTAGTCTCTCCTTCCCAAGTCATTCATACCACCCTACTCTGGTGAACACTACTGACAGGTAACATTGTGCAGAATTCATTGACCCTAGATGATAGTAAGCCTGTAGACTTTCAGCCATCATCTCTACCAAACGCGAAGCGACCTATGGAGCGACGCGCACCACCACCCCCCCGCCTTGGCGAGAAGCCCGGCGCTCAACCTCTGCCCGGCATGCAGAAGCACCGGCCAACAAAGTCCCAAGAGGAGGCCCTCAGAGCGAGGAAGCAAGCTCAAGGCTCCCAGCCTGGTATATCACAATCTCCGCAGAGAAGGTCTCAACGACGACCGCGACGTAATTCTGAGTCTTCGGTTAGGGACTTCGATACCAAACCCATCACGGACGAGGAGCGGAAATTGGTCGAAGAAAAGCGTCGCGCGAAGGACAAGCTGCGGCGTGAGGGTCGTGATGGGAAAGATAAGGGCCGGTCGGGCAGACCGAGCCGTCGGATCGATATCATTGACCAGCTGGACGCGACAAGCATCTACGGAACCGGGTGTAAGTTCCTTGAAGCTTTTCGGGCCAGATCTATGTTACTAACAACCCGGCAAGTGTTCCATCATGACGGTCCATTTGATGCACTGCACCCGCACCGCAATCGACAGAGCAGTCGCCGCGCCCCGATGCAAGCATTTCCGAAAGATTCGCTCAATAACTCTATTGGCGGTTCCGGGCCTCTCAACCCACAAGCAGATCATTCGACCTTCATGGGAGAAACTGCCGAAGCATTCAGAGACTATGCGGCCGGTGCCCGTGCTAAGAATTCCACCATCTTCAATCCTGTAGCTCGTGGCGATGTAATCCATGGTGATGAGAGCCATGGTCTCGGTACCTCAACCTTCTTGGAGGGAACTCCGGCTGCGCGCGCTGCTATTGCTCGACACCGGGCTGAGGAGGCGCAGGAAGCAGTGACCGGGGGTATACAGCGAAAGAAGTCTTTGGCGCACCGTATCCGATATATGAACAAGGGTCCTCGTGAATATCACAGCGCTGGACAATATTCTCCTGACGCAGTACCATCCCGCCATGCTGACGGCTCTGAACCCAACCAAGGCTACTTCTCCGAATTTGGCAAGGGCGAAGATAACATAACGGTCCAGCGCCGAGACGGCACCCTCTCGCCGGTCAGTCCGCCGCCTGTTCCAAGACGTGGCTCTGGCGCAACTCTTGAGAGGCGAGCCACAACAGATGCCACCGGCCCATCAGAGGAAACCCCCGCGAAACAAAGTAGCCTTCTAGGAAGAATGAAGAGCTTAAAGGGTGGCAGGAAGCCCAGGAATGTGGACGGTGCCAATAGTGTTTCGGCAAACCAGGGGTGATACTCGAAGGGAGACGTATGCAGATAAATGAGCAAATGATAGCCCGGGCTTCGGCGACTATCACGGCCGTGTCGGCTTCTAGCCATGGTTAGGTCTGTTACTCTACTTGTCAGTGGCACGCCCGCATGACGACTGTTGAGCTACACCAGGAGAGTGGTCCAATCTCATTTGGGAACAGCCGATTTTCTTTTTAGCTGAAACTTGTTACGGGCCACGACTGTTCATGCTGCCAGCTACGCAGTGGCCGTATTGGTCCCCGATCAATCTGTCTTGCGGCGGTGGGCTAGCCAGCAGTAGTGTCGATATTTCTATCTGCAGATGCAGAAGTAGTTCTAATGAATGAATTGACAATCCATCAACTATCTTTTCGTATACATTTGCATGCCGGTGTGCTATATCTCGGTACTTGAACTAGGTGGGGCTGATTTGGACAGCCAACTCCGACTTGTCGCAACAGCTGTATGTATTATCAGCTACATCCAACAAAGATAGCCGTACATGATCCTCTGACACAAATGACAGGGGATTTCTGTCTTCGGCCTGTCCCTACTTGCGCGTTGGCGCTTGCTGGCGAGGAAGCAAGCCTGCATGGTCGTCTTTCCAGCTTTCCGCTCGTCAAATACGGATGTACGGAGCTGGACGAAGCCGTCCTCCTTGGGGGGCTAGAAAGAGGTTCCGTTGTAGGCATCAGCGCTGATGATGTGGATGGCTTCGGTCTTCTGGTATGGCTGTTCTGTTCCAGAGTTATCCTATAATTAATACTAAGGCCAGCCGCCAGATGGGGTTGCAGGGTATGATACGGGCGATATTGGACGGCTCGGTGCATCGGGCGTTGGTCATAACACCAAAGCCACTGGCATCGATATCCAAGGTTATTGTTGATATAACGAAAACTGAGCTATCAAAATCGGGACTCGAACAAGCCGAAGCAGAACAGAAGTGTCGAGCTGGTCTAGATAGCGTGATGCTTTCTGTTGTGTTTGATATCGACGGTATCTGGCAAACGCTGTCCGAGCTTCTACAACCCCTCGTCGCAGCTACGTCCTCCTCCCCTGTTATCCACCACGAGGGCCACATAGGCAGCCTTGAACGCAATCGAATGATCCCCACAACGGAAATCCAGGATAGCGAAGATGAAGACATATTACAACCCGCTGGCCATAAAACCTTCGACTCGAGAGAGGAACCCAGAGCATCATCGCACGAAGACCAAGGAGAGCGCTCCTCGCCCATGTGTCCCCCAGAAATCATTGTCGTGACTCATTTCTCGACTTTTCTGACGTCTCTATTCGCCCGGCGGGAGAAGGCAGAAGCGCATAAAACGTTGGCATATTTGAAATGGCAGTTGCGTGGGCTCTCCCGCTCTTGCAGCATGAGTCCCCTCATACTGCTAGTCAACTCTACCACCACAGAAGAGGCGAGTAACAGGCCTCGAGGATCAGCCTTGGACCTGAGCGGCTCGACCAGAACCCATAGGAGTCCAGAACCTACGCTCCATTCGATATTTGCGTCAGTGCGCAGCCTGCGCCCTTCACGGCCGAGCTTCGGAGTCGTTTTCAGCCAGTTTCTTGATTTACACATTCTCTGTACCGATCTCTCGGAAAATCACGCCAATCTGGCCTGCCGTCTCGAAAGGGCGGCTGCGTCTACAAAGTGCGACCACCAGTGCCGCTCCCTTGCACACATAGAGGTGCTGAAAGACAACTTGGGAATAAATTCGGCTCATCTTCGCAAACAGAATCGCGAGAAACGATGGGCTGTATTAGATGTATACGGCCAGAAAATCGTGAACCCTGGTGATGGCTTAATACGCGAGCCACAGACAACGAGCGAGCATGTGCCAAGTCAGAAGGACACTTGAGCGCGGACCTATGCCATACCAACGGGGCTCACTGATAATGTAGTGGTTTAGCCTCTGACATATCTAGTTTGTTTGTCAACCTTTAACTATACACTAATGTGAGATTGTTGAAGTTTGAAAACTTTAGCACAAGGGACTCGTTCGAATGAAAAGATACACTATTGCGTTGAAACCTTCTTTACACCTCATAGTCTTCACTAGCATTTCAAAAGACAGACATCTAAAGGAAATATATCTGCCGCCAAGGGTACAGCGCCCTACGACTATCAAATGTGCAAAATACCACTTCGCTCAAGTAAATGATGTGAGCGGCAAGCCGTGGTGCAAAGTCTTGCCGGCATAGAAAAAAAAGACGTCCATACAATCAAGGTGAAGACGAGCCAGGAACTTCTGAACGTCTATTGTTCTTCCAAAAGTCGATTGCCTCAACAACATCTTCACCCTTTTCGTCTTCGTATGCATATAAAATCTGGGGAATGATCAGCTTACACGTTCGCTAGTGAGCAGGGACTGTCGGAATACCTCATGGGTGCTGCTGTGCAGCATTCGAATACTCTTGTGCGGCACAATGTGGACGGTGCCATTTTCGATGTTGCGCAATTCTATGAAGTTGGGCTCAAAAGCAAGGATAAATGGATAGCTCAGCGCAAAGCTCTGAGGCGCGCCCTCCCAGTCAATACGCCACTCTGGGCGAGCCCTCCAACCATTGCGGTTAACAAAGAATGAGAATTCAGAGTAGTTGAGCAAGAATTCGCCGTTCAGCCGCTCAATGTGAATCGGCCGCACTCCTTCCCTCCGGGCCACAAAATCAAGCGAAGTGTCGGCTTGATCAAGAAGCGACTGGGTCTCAAGAGTTTGCAGGGAGACGACTTCAAATCCTCTTGCACAAGCCACACAGAGGACTGACTTGAGGAAATGAACCGACGTGGATTCCGTAGGGATGTAGAATTCTTTGAAGGGTCGGAGTTCGTCATGGCCACTGCTGATAAATTTACCGAGTCCCTTTTGTTTCTTCCCCTTCGTCATCGCGTCGTTGGGCTCAAAAACTTTGATGGTGGTCGATAACGCGGTGGACTTCACGCAGCAGACAAGATGTCTGCCTAGGCAGATGCCAGTCTTGAAGAAGCTGCAGTGATTCTGTATCTTCTTCGGCCTCTTGGCCAAGGCTGGCTCGTCGGGGTTGAGTGCTGACAGGGAGTAGGATTGCAGCGTCTTGTTCGACAAAACAAGGAGAAGCTGGTATTCTTCCAGTATGTCGATCTGAGTGACGCTGGGTGTTTCAAGAACACGCCTTGGTATTTGCTCCTTAACTTTACGATCAGAGATGTAAATACCATTATCAGTGCCGTACAGTAATTTTCTGCCGCCGTCTGTAACACAGTTAGCTAAGTAAATTTGCTGCCGCCAACCCAGTTTATCTTACCAAATGGTGTAACACAGTTAACTTGGTTTGTGCCCCCAAAGAAGTTGCTTGAAATTGCATTAGTGTTGAAGAAATCAGCACGAGCGCGAAGACGTTGCTGGGCATTATCGATAAACTCTAGCCATTTCTTCCTCGCCGCTTGATTGGAGGCATAAAGTGTCTGTTCATAGCCTGCTTTTCCCAAATGTCGAAACGTGATGGGCCAGCCTTCGCCCTTCTTGGTATCAGATACAGTCGTTCGGATAGATGGAATAAGACTTGACGATGATCGCTTTATCGAGCCCTGTAGGGGTATCACTTCATCCATTTCTCGGATAGCGAGGAGTTCCAGAGGGATTGGCCGCCTATACGCGGTAATCTCTTCTGTCTTCCCCTTTTGCTTGATACGCACGAGCAGGACGGCATGGTCGAATAGAAAAGCTGTGATCTCAGCCGGGTCTGTCGGTGACTTCTTAAACTGGCTCTTGAAAACTAGCTCGCGTCCTTCCTCGGTCAGTCGAAGATCAACTCTTTCGTTAGCCTTGAAACGAAGTTGCTCGTGTAAACGTCTCAGATTGAAGCGATTCTCAGCCTTGCCAGATTCCGCATTGACACGGCTGAGGAGGTCTCTGATCATGGTGAGCACTTTGGGTATATCGGTTTTGTCGGAACTATCATCCTCTGTGTACTTGAGGACATTCTCAAGCAGTAGAGGGTACCGAGCCAATCGAGTGGTTGGCTTGGTCAAATAGCCATTGAGTTCGAGTTTGCGGGATTCTCTCTTTCGTTCAATTTCGTCAACGAAAGTGGAGAAGGACGGGTTTACTGAGCGCTCGTTCTCAAACCCAAATTTACCCTCTAGTTGCTTAGACCCGTACCAGATGAAGGGCTCAAACTGCGGCGCAAACTCCAGAAAGATATCGCCAATACTGTGAACAATCGGATCCTTTTGTTGTCGACTCGTGATAGATGATGCAAATCTTGAGCTGACAGTATGGATGCTCGGGTGGTCAATAATATTACTGAAAATCGTTTTGACAACCTTCTCGCGACGCTGGGGAGGGATAGGCGATTGCTTTGACCTCAAGGGGAGAATCCAGAAGTCGCGCAAATATTCAAGATCCTTGACAAAGTCTCTTTCCGTATAGCATATCTCGGAGATAACTTCTTGCCTTTTCTTTTCTCGCTCGCTAACAGCATCCGCGATTTCCTTCGGCACGGAGTTGATCCATAATTTTTGCTCATCCGTCTGGTCTGCCTCGTCATCATGCAGGTTTGTTGCGTCATCTTTCCGCAGTCCGGGATTGATTTTGAGATTCAGGCGTGACACTTGCTCCAATCTGCGAGGACATGCAATAGAATAGCAAAGCTGCTCTCGCGTGCAAGTAGGCGAGTAACATTCAGAAAGCAAGACAAAGACACCATTGACGGATGACTTTTCTTCCGGCTCGTCCACGAGTGTCTCTCTGAACTGATACATCTCAGACTGCGAGTCTCGCAGGCGATGCTCGTAGGTTACATCGTGGAAGAACTTTTGCGCATCCAGCGCACGGCCAAGAAGCAACGCAAGGTTTCTGTCCGTCGTTCGGATAATGTAAGACAAAACGTCAACAGCCTCGGAGCCACTGAAGGCATTTTTGTACGTCAGTTCGTTCTTGGTGCGGTCCCCGACGTAAATTTTTTCTCTAAAGCACTCGGCCACTCTTGAGAGTAATGCAGGATAGACGAGTGGCGGGCGTATTTTTGTTGCCGTCTGGGGACGCTCACTCTCGACAGATTTACTTCGAGAGGGTCGTTGCACAAGCGTCATCGAATCAGACTCGGAAGGTGCGACTGTTGGCGCAATACTAGACGCCATGGACATTGTTCGAGAATGCTCATACGTGTTTGTTGACGAAACCATGCTCGTGGTCCTACCTTGAGCAGTAGATGTATTTGCATACGAGCCACCATGCGGCATATATCCGTTCACGGTCTGTAGGTCTGACGGTGGTCGCCGGTTGGGGATGACACGGCCACTCATCGTTTGATGGGCATCCCTATCTTGAGTGTGGTATGGGCCGGTCATTGACATAGATCGATCTTCGTGTCTTTCGGGCACAACACGGCCCTGCGCGGTGGTTCTTGCAGACGGCTGTTGCGAATAGGGAGCCTGACGAGACTGGTTCGCAGGCGACTGTTGATATGCATGCTGTGACTGCGGATATATCTGAGGTCGGGGGGTCGAGGCGAGTGATTGCGACCGATAAGGGTCAGAGTTCAAGGCAGCCCTGTGCGGTATCTGATACATCCTATGTCCGGGTTGCCTTGCACCTGCCGCTTGAGGTGGTGCACTTCCTCGAGATTCCATCCTAGGGGGGGGCGGTCCGCCCGTGTTAGGGTACTGGCGTCGTCCCTGTGGCATGTATTGGTTTGGAGCGTATTGTCCCCCGGAGGTAGATCGTTGCCCTTGGTAATAGCCAGCGGGTATGCTACCTTCCGAAATCCGGTTGCCACCAGGGGATGAATGCTCATAGTCACCATAGTAAGCCTGTTGAGGTCGCGGCTGAGGGGGTGGCCGTGGAGCATTCGGTGGTGGACCTCTTCCTTGATCCATCATTGGAGGCATTGCTGACGATGTCATGGTTTGGGACCTCCCTGGCGGCGGCGCGGCGCCAAATATATTAGAGAAGGCGGCATCACGTTGTGAGTTGTTGTCCGGGTAGGCTCGTGGCCGCGGTGGGGGCCGTGATTCGTAAGGGTAGTCCGCCATGGCTATGGATAGGTTAGAAATCAGCAGCCTTTATAGTGGAAAGGACCTTATGTGCGAGAAGTGTCACTGTACCCTTATAAGGTGATGCGGGCACGGCCTAGGGACAGACGATTGCGAATCTGCGAGGCAATTTCACCACCAGAGCCGGACTCCTTCAAGGTTCCGATAGAAGGAGAGACGAACTGACTGTCTCGTACACAAATCGAGACGATCGCGCTGAGCTGACTTGTTTTCGTCACCTCAGGTGAACTGTGAGCACTGCTCACGACGACCACTGGCTGCGTTGGTAGGGTCGGTCGAGGGGGAGGCGAAATGGGCACAGAGGTAGCATCGATGTGCAGGGTCGAGGCGTACCGTTTTGCAGCTGAATGGTTGTCTCTACACCCTCGTCGTGCGTTTGCAGTGTCTCGATCCGGTCGTGCCTTAGACCTGGCAGACGTTGTGAAGAATCGGTTGTAAGCTGTCAATTGTCTTCATGTGGCTTAGACATGATGAATGCTCACGGCAGGTGTTAAAATACGCCACAGTTGTATGTGGCGCGGGTGTGGCTGACGACCGAACAGGCCAAACACGGTTGCAGAACAGTTGAGCAGCGGAGAAAAAAAAACACGAATAGGACTAGGAATTTGATAAAGTAATTACATCTTCTGTTTAAATTGACTATATTCGGGTTTTACGATGGAACTATACAGGACTAGACCAGGAAGTGATTGCCTACCTATGAGGCACATGTCACCAGTCAGTCACGTGCATGAATGGTAGGTACCTGCGTACACGCCTACCACTCCCAGAGACGGAGCTCACTCCAGTTACAGCTTCTTCCATCATCTACAGACAACACACTCTCAAGAACATTCTGGCACATAGGAGCCCAGCATGGATTCGGAGGTTGCACCAAAGTTCGCGCCCTTCATTGGCATGGTAAGACTTCGGATGATAATTTGTTGCCAGCCCATTCTGACATGTTTGCCTAGGGTGGGATTGCTGCGGCAATGGTGTTCGGATGTATGGGCGATTCCTTTCGAAACCGACGGTGAAAAAACAAACGAGGCACTGTGGCTGATATTCTACAGCAATCGGTGCTGCATATGGAACCGCGAAATCGGGCATCGGTATTGCAGGAGTGGGCACGTTTCGGCCTGACCTAATTATGAAAGTAGGTTACGGCCAACATTATTCTCTCCGTCTAGAACTTGAAGGTCTGACTCTCTAAGTGCCTCATTCCTGTCGTCATGTCAGGCATCATCGCGGTTTACTCTTTAGTCATCTCGGTCCTGATAGCAGAAGACTTAACACCACCATCTGTTGGCAGCTACAGTTTGTTTGCGTGAGTGCCGACTCACATGGGGCGCCAAAGCAACTTGAACATGAGCTTACATTGACTAGCGGATTTCTGCATCTTGGCTGTGGTATAGCAGTGGGAATGACAGGCCTCGCTGCGGGATATTGCATCGGCGTTGTCGGTGAAGCCGGTGTTCGCGCATATATGGAGCAGTCGAGGGTGTTTGTCGGAATGGTGCTGATCCTGATTTTTGGAGAGGTACTTGGGCTTTATGGGTATTTTACACACGTTTTGGTACGATGTTACATACTAACCTGCTTATAGGCTCATCGTGGCGCTACTCCTCAATACTCAAAGCAAAGGCTGAAAGCTGTGGACTCAATATGATCGGCAATAGGGCTACTGTGGATGGGACAGCTTTATACATCGCATTCGGGCGTGTATTGTAGCAGGCTGTACTGTACGATTTATTTGGTGTTTGGGGGGGGCTCAACCCGGGTTGGATGCCATGTTAATATTATTGAGCCGATGCTCAGAACGCTAGAATGCAAGGCATGATATACATTAAATCTGCATACCACTCTTCGCTAGCCGTCTCGTCCTGTTCAGCCAAAGCTACGCGCAACATTACGTGCACGAGACTGATGTTCTGCGTACAGCGTCAATGCATGGGCAAGATGCGTTGACCGACACGACGAGAAAGTCGTCTTCGTTGCAAGGCATCGGCCTCACCGCGGATTCTTGTCCAACTACGTTCGCGCTCTTCCCAACCCCTCATCTGAGCTTTGGTGGTCATTAGTGATGCTCATTGAAGTTGATCAGGGCAATTTGTACTGACCGATCAGCCAATCCCACTGTCGTTCCTCCTGCTGCAGGGTTGTGCCTGATCCTTCCCTCGCCAGCCTTTCTCTCCTTGCTTCAGCGGCAGCCTGCTCGCCCACCAGGTATGGGTCCTCGAGCGGTCGAAACGCCTCGCCGTTGGCCGCGTTGTGCTCCTCGAGCAGTCTAGCTGTCCTTTGGCGCTCCGGTGAGCCTGCTGCCTGGTATCTTCCATCCACCACGCGACGTTCCGCTACCTTGCGGTAGTGTCTGGTGGTGGGAGTATCAGCAGCCGCCCACATCAGTAAGTGCGACGGTACTCTAGTTGGCGGGTGGGCGGGTACAGGTGGTAGGCCGATGGTTTCGAGCTGAGCAGGCTCTCGGCGACGTCGGTCATCATGCGAGTCTCCTTGCACCGTGGATGTGCTTTGTGTGCTTTGTGCGGGGTTCAGAGGTATTCTAGGCGTATATAGCGGTGCTGCGTCTGGATTCGGAACAGTTGAGTGGTACGATGGCGCTTCAGATACTATTGGTTGTATTAGCCAGTTGCAGAATATAGTCATCTGAACCACCTTTGGTTTTTCTCCTGTCCCGGCTTCGCTCATCTGGACTTTTATTTGCTCACCATACGACGGGGCCGCTGATCTAATAGAAGCTGTCTCAACATCCGTTGTGCTGTATCTTGGTGATGTGCTTGGCATGTTTGTTCTTTCTTTCGCTCCTGTGGTTGATTGTATTGTGCGCTGCGCGATGACAGGATGTGACGGGTTTATGTTAGTGGACATGAGCGATTTGAGTTGCGATTTATGGGCGAGTCCTTTCTTCTTGGTAAGCGGGGGCTGTCCATGAGTTGATCTACGTTCTCGGTGCAGATGACTTCCCCTCCGTCGGCGTTGTGGAACCTTGGTACTACAGGGTGTGGTATGGTTTGGGCGTGGGCACGCGACCTCGCCACATCGAGCATCTTGGTGCCGATGATGAGACTACCGAGTTGGCGTACGCGGGGTTCCGGCCTCTTATTTAATGTATATTTCCCCCCTATTATAACGGTATTAGGCTATGTACTGTTGTATATTGATTATCTTTTATATTTTACTAGCTATAGTCGATACCTGATACCGTTGGGATCAATTGAATAGAAAACGTGTCGACCTAGTAGTGCCTTATTAAAAAAGCCCTTACGCGTGTAGATACATGCGCGAGTAAGGCCTGTTTTTATAGGGCACTAGATAAGTCTATTTTTTAATAGATAATTTTTCCCTATTATAACGCTATTAGGCTACTATTGTTACGGGCTAGGCTATGCCCAGCACCTCTCCAAGTGGCCGGCGTGGAGCCCCTAAAGGGGCACCCTTGTAGGTGCAACCAGACAACAACCGTGCCGGTGTTGTTGTTACGAATCCTTTTGTTATCGTGGGTTGTAGCTTACGCTATTAACGGCACCAGGTTCTGGTTGCCACTGGAGCCCTCTGGGCCAGTTCCGTTACAACTATTATATATATAAAAAAACATCTTTATTTTTTTAAGCTATATTAGGGATATTGATAGTATTATAATAGGGGAAAATTATCTATTAAAAAAGCAACCTATCTAGTACCCTATTAGAAAACAGGCCGTACTTGCGTACCTTAGATATGTTTTCGGCTGAAAATGTTTTTTTCTCTGTTATAACGCTGTTAACGTATCTAACACGGCTTATAAAAAATATAAAGGTTTTTTAATACGTAATAGCACCCTGCTAGCGTTGTGATAGGGGGGAAACGTGTTAAAAAACATACCTGTCTAGTACCCTGTCCAAAAACAGGCCTCACTCGCGTATGTATGTAAGTACCTTGGTACCCACCCGGGTGGTTGATAACGCAGCGTACAAATGGCTTTTTTACCAGATTTCGCGACAAGATAGAGGCAGGGAAGGAGACGACTAGTTACTGCAAATATAAATACGCGCTAACGAGGACGATGTAAGCCAGAAGTCGATAGAAATACCACACGCTGTACGGCCGGTTCCTGACGAAGACGAGAGGTATAGGGTACCTACCTTGATCGGAGGTTAACTAGTGCCACAGAACTGGTCACGTCAGTGACAGGAACTCAACGCGTCTCCGTAACACGCATAGGCTCAATCAACCCACGATCGACGACAAACCGTCAAATCACCAGCGTCACAAGACGGATCCAACGCAGCACCATCAACAAGATAAAACAAAATGGAACCGTATTCGCCGAGCCGATGGGGAAGCAATTCTCCACCAAGTGCGCGTCGAAATGCGCCGCATAGTGCACCCGGCAGCAAGAGAAAAAGGACAAATGGACGTGCAGAGGCCAATGAGAATCAAGCGGGCCGCGACTCTACACCAGAAAGCACGGGAAGCTACGACGAACATGTATATGACCCAGACCAACCACTCGCAGAGCGGCGAAAGGTTCAGAAAAGGTTCAGAGAACTCCTCCGCGATGTGACAGAGAACTCGGAGGAATACCTCCAGTCTGGCTCACATGGACTATACGACGCGATCATAAAAGCAAACGAGCTCACCAAACAAGTCCGCCAAACGACGGAAGCTACGATAGACTCCCGATTACTCGTCAGCACAACAGATCTCTCATACAGGAAGACTCTGCGGCTCACGCAAGGTAGCCTATCCCAAGGCGTTGATGTGGACGAGTTTGTCTCCAAGTGCATTACGTTTATGCGCCAAGAACGTGGGAATGCGAGCGGAGGAGGGCAAGGCGAAGACGGGGAGGAAGATGGCGACACTGCAACACAGCAGAGACGGAGGAGAGATAATTCCAACGGAATGGACGACCCTGAGGACAGAGATGGCGATATGATGAACTGGGGCCACCTAGGCCGATTTGCGTGCCTCCCGCACTCAAGGAGACCAGCATTACCAGGGCTGCTTCTTGGTCCACTCTCCGTGGAAAGGAAAATACGGAGAGTTACCAAACGCAGCGCCCCGTTCAGACCAAACAGCCTCGCAGAAACGCGACCTGAAATTCTGAATACTGAGGATCTGGCCAGGAAAGAAAATGACCTCACTGCAATCTGTGGAAAGATCTTTCAGCAACTCCAAGACACACAAGAGCAGGTGCAGGGGGCGGTAGCAGCGGCCATACGGGCCGAGATGAGCGACGAAGAACAAATAGATATCATGCACAGACATGGGCTGCGGCGAACTGGTGGCATAGATCTCATGAGATTTGTGGTAAACCCCAAATCGTTTGGACAAACGGTCGAGAACATTTTCTACGTGAGCTTTCTAATTCGGGATGGAAGAATTGAAATCGAGTATGATGAATACAGTCTCCCTGCCCTAGGTAAGTCTGACGCCCTATCAATGACAGGGGAAGTAGCTCACACGTTGAAACCACAGCTCCCGTCGTCCGCGAAGAACACGAGGACGAATCAGCTCGCCAGGGCTCAGCAAAGCATCAAGCAGTATTGTCCATCGATATGCGAGCATGGAAAGACATAATAGATACTCTCCAGATTAAAGAGTCGATGATTGAGCACAGGCAAGAAATCGCCAATAGTGGCCCCGGGGCGAAAGGCTGGTATAGTTAAAGTAGCAAGCACGTACCCGAGCCTCTTTTATGCTTAGGCAACGGAGGCAGACAAGAAAAACAAACCAAACGCAGCTATTCCCATGTTACCCAGACAAAGGCCAGACAAAGAACACGGTATCTAGTGGGCCAGCCATTCACTGTTGGCAAAGCATCATGTGCACGAGGGCTCATAGCGACATGTTAGTACAAACAAGGGTTGTGTGGCTACACGTGAATTTTCCATTGCTGCGCATACTCGCCATCTCGTTTATATAAGACCAAACGCTTCCCTCTGTATGAACTATGGGATCCAAATACCTGTACCGAGCCTCGAGCGAGCCAACCCAGCTAAACACGATCAAGAAACCAGAGATTGTTACGGTTGCATAACAAAGTCAAAATGAGCCCGCTACTCAAACCGTCGGTCCGCGACACTCAACACGATGCCATAGATGGACACGACACCATAGGCGACCACGCCAAACAATCAAAAGATGATCGAACTAGGAAGGAAAATATATACAGGCTTAAGAAGATGCTTGTCTTGGCCAAGGAAGAAAAGAGAGCTCTAGAGCATAGTTTGGAAGAGGCAAAGATAACGATCGAGTTGCTTCAAGTGGCAAAGGGCAAACAAGACGAGTCCAAGAAGATACGCAAATCACTGAAAAAAGAACGGCTTGGGGCAGAATGGGCAGAACTCGACTTAAAAACTCAGAAGCTAAACGAGGACAGAAACCTCTTCCTCAAGGAAAAGAAGGCCTTTGAAGGTAAGAAACGTATCATCTCGGGGAGAGACGGGGAGCCGTCCATATACCTACACATCGGAGACAATGCAACTGGATAATGATTCAAGCACCACACATGAAGAGGCGTCTAAGGTCAGCAACCAGGAAGCATCACACAGTGATGCAGCATCACCCCAAATCGGAGAGATCGTCGAGGTTGCGGTCACGACGAAACATAGCGACAATGCGCGGCCGATCAGCGAAGAAATACGAATGGCTGACAGGAACGAAACGGAATGTGTGGAGCGCCGTGAGAGGAGCACCGCTCCTTCGTCGTCGCTCACAAGCCATTCTGCCGCGGACACTGCCTTTCCCGACCGGACACAAGCAGCGCTTATTAAGAAGGCACATATCATCATCGACATGGTCTGCGGGGCAGACGGGCGGCAACCAGCTCTCCGTGTTCGGTTTTTTTGGCCTGGTTACTTGGTATCATTCTCTTAGCTGTCGGTGTCACAATGAGCGTTGTAGCATCATTGTACATGGAAGGAACGAAAAAAGAGCGAAACAAATGGCTTGAAGCGAATGGACTGACGAGAGCCTACATGCTCACAACAGCGCCAGCTGGTTACGTCGACTAGTTAGGTACCTACCTGGTAGAAAGGCAGCAAAATATGACTGCGGGTGTACCACGGACGAATCGGACCGAGTTGATGATTGATAAGCTCAGATGTTTTTGCGGCCCAGAGGATGAGAAAATCTATCGATAGTGTCAAGTAATATCGATATTCCAAATACGCGGTAATACTCGATACCGTCGCAATATTTCGCTCTCCGCTGCCTGTCTACCCTCCTCCCGTCGGAGATTTGCGCAGAAGCTCATGTCCATGATCGTGAATGATGGCCCTGTTTTCGTGCTGTTTTTCGGGGTTTATCGCCGTACCGAGGCGCGCCGAGCTTGCCCACCACAAACGAAGACTGGGCTGTCAAAAGTTTCGATTTGGAATTAGTGAGTTCTGGAGACGACGCGGTCCAGCCGATTGATCAGTGATGCGCTGATGACACATGTAATATTTAGCGCTAGTTATAGGCATCTGACGTCGGTCAGGATCCGCCAGCCTCTTCCAATAATACTTAAATATACCGGCTCGCTTGCCAAGTCGAAAATTCTAATGTTTCGGATTCAAAGTTACCGCTTTATTACTACACAAATAAGCTTGAGCAATCGTGGTAGATCATTGAGCATCATGTCGACAGAGCTGATTCCTTCCAACCCATCGGATGTCATGGTCATTCGCAATGTTACTCCCAATGTTGTGACGTTTTCTGTTCCATTTGCCAGATTTGGCAAGGCCAAAATCGGTGGGCGAGGAACGCTGGGTTAGTGAATCTAGTGTTGAACGAGGCGACGACTTGCTAATACGAGTGCAGTGAAATTGACTTCGGGCTCATTGGCTGCGTTCTCTCCCGTTGCGCTGACGGACGCGACTAAAGCTAAAGTGACCGAGATGGGTGGCCTTGTTAGGTACTTGGTTGCGCTAGATATAGAACACCACATTTTCCTGTCGGAATGGGCGAAGGAGTATCCTGATGCGAAGATCATTGGACCCCACGGTCTGCCGGAGAAGCGCGCCCAGCAGGATGACCCCAAAATCGGCCAAGACGCGTTCTCGGTTGTCTTCACGCCGGAGAAGAAACACGAGACGAAGATTGGCGAAGAGTTTGACACTGATTTTGACTACGAATATGTTGATGGCCATGCCAATCGGGAACTCGTGTTCTACTACAAGCCCGAAAAGGTGCTGATTGAGGCTGATTTGTTGTTCAACCTGCCTGCCACTGAACAGTACAGCAGAGTACCGGAAAGCGAGCGCCAGTCTTCTGGTGTGGTGGACAAGTTGTTTGCAAAGCTTCAGAGTACAGAGGGCGAAGGCAAATGGATCAAAAGGTTCAATTGGTATGTTCTTGCCAAGGACAGGCCGAGCTACAATGATAGTCTCAGGGTCATCAGTGGCTGGGATTTCATCACTCTGATTCCTTGTCACGGCGATGTCATTGAAGGCGATGCGAAGCAAGTATTTGATAAGGTGTTCAACTGGCACTTAGGCGGCAGGAATTGAGTTCTTCCTTGCTGTGACGTTGATGAGTGCTGATCAGCGTACTCTGTGGTAAGCGATGCTAGATGATTCGGCGGAATTTTGTTGGCGGCGTGTAGGTGTGGAAATCTGATACTGTAGGCGAGTGACCGTTTAAATTTGGCAGAAAAACAGCAATCTAGAAAAGGGACAATCACGCCAAGGGTCAAGAAATTGAAGGGTTGCGACTACTGGAGTGAGGAAGGGTATTTTAGTCCATTAGTCAACATAATGTTGCATTTTGTTACATGGCATTTCATTTCCGTACTGTACCCAGGTACACAGAACGATTTTCTGGCGCAAACCAACACGACTTTGGAGCGAGTTCCACACTCTGTCATTGGTACGACAAGGCACTACCTACGCGCGCGGGGGGTGTTTTCTGATATGGCTTGTGACACGGTTTACGCATTCTGACATGCTTTCTATCTTCTCACACGTCTAGAAAATCTAATAGATATCTAAATAGAATATATTTTAAAATAAAGATATTAG